CATTTTTTTATTTTGCAGTAAAAATCACAGGTTCATTGATCATACAATAAAGTTATGTTTATTCATTAATTTATTTATGAATTAATATATTTACATATTTATTTATCTTCCTATTTATTCATCATTGCTTTATTTCCTTGAGAATTCAATTAAGAAATAATCACTGTTATCAGTTATTGAGATCTATTTATTTCTTTATTTCATCTTTTATTAAACAATTATTTTTGTTTATTTTTAAGTTATTAGGTAACCTTTTATTGAGGCATCATTTCAAAAGACCTGTGTACGACATTGTAAGTGGACGCTCTTAATTGTGTTAGTGCGACAACTGAAGACAAGACTGGACTGAAATACACTTAATTGGACTTAGATGTGGGATTTTCCGAACAACACCTCACTCGACTGGACGGGGCCGCAATGTACTAGGTTGTTCCTAACTTGACTGAGCAGGACTGCATTGTGCTGGACTTCACAGCAATTGGTTGTTCTGGACTGGACGGGACGGGGCTGAGCTGATACGGATTGTACTGCTCTGCACTGCATTTGATTGGGCTAGAATCGACTGCAGTTGACTTATATGGACCTGGGCTATGCCGGATTGAAATGCATTTAACTGGAAAGGACTGAATGGAATTGGGCGAGAATGGACGGGACTGGACTCCACTAATTGGATTGGACCGGACTACACGTTAGTGGACTAGACTGGATGGACAGCACTTGAGAGGACTAGACGTGATGGCTCTGCACTTCACTGGACTGGACTGTCTTAGCCTGAGCTTGACTTCACCATACTGCGCTACACCGCTCTACCCTGGATTGAACTGGAATGCGCCATACAGGATAGCCAGTTCATTGCACGTCATCACCATCATTGCACCGAAGTGCATTGCACGCCTCCAAATGACTGTACTGCACTGCATGTGGATGTACTCCAGTGGACTAGATCACACAGCAGAGCTTTGCACAGCACCGGACGTAACTTGGAAGGACTGTTCTGGATTGCCTGAGCTGCAATGGAGTTGATGGCAATACATTAAACTACACTTGACTTGTATGCAAAAGACTGCTAATAAAGACTGACAATATAATGAGAAAAGATCAACTAAACCAAATTGTATTATGAAGTTTGTTTCAGTTAGTCAAGACAATTCGTGTTTTGATGATATGAAATGTAACCGGCTAGGGAAATCGTGTTAGTTGTCTTTGAATTGTCCCATAATTAAATACTTACACTTAAACGTCATCTGTGACCTTTCTGATGGGCTGCTGATTGGGCCTTGTTCAAAAGCACTAGCTATTAAAGTTTTTCTCCACTAAAGACAAAACTGTTAGGAGACAAAGAAAGTGTTAAAATATTAAACACGTCACATTGCGAGTTGTTAAACGCTGTCATCGAACCATTTAATGGGGAAGCCACCTAACAAATTCTGTAAAGAGAAAATTTCAGATAGTCCAGAACCAAGAATAATTCTTACCAATGATTACACATTACCTTTGAAGCGTTCGATGTGCTACTTCTTTATGACGTGATCCGAAGTGAGCCTCGAGGACATGCTGAGAAGAAGACATCTAAAAAACTTGTTGCAACCAAAACATGCCGGCCTTACCTCTTTCAGATGACCTCAAGTGCTGATCGACGATAACTTTTTACTCCAACTGCTCTATGCAACGCATCAGGGTTTTCCTATCAGCGAACGAACCCACCTTACACAGGTTAGTCTCACAACGTCATAATAATTCTTTTCTTACCTTGTCATTGATGCAAAGCCCCTGAAAATGGGCTGATCTTGAGCTGCAGGAATTTAAAATGTCTCAAGCTCTTAAATCGAAAAAGAAAAGCCTGCTTTTCTTGTATATTCATTCTAGCAAACTCGAGACAACGCTAACTCCTATACTAAACTAGACTATACTATACTATACTATACTTCCATCACACAGAAATTTAACGTACCTGTGGTTATGTCCCAGCTTTGGATTCTCCTCGTAGTTGTAGCGCAGCTTGTTGTTATGAATATCTTCTCGTGAAGCACTCCAGTCCTGCTCTACTGATATCCCAGTGTTGAAATTTAGCCATGAACCACCGGCGACCTTTTGATTGCTTGTGTTTCCAAAGGTCAGCTGGTGTCTTGGGAAAGCAAAGTCTTTTGAGAAAAAAATATTTGGAAAACTTTTAAGAAAACGTCGCACTTCAAAAGAACGCCGTTTTTTTAATTGAGCTGTTCTAGCTTTACTCTTTTTCACCCATTTAAGAGCATTTTTGTTAGAGGTATACAATCTGCTTTGACTATCACTTACTTCCATTACGACTGAAGACTGGACTGGACTACGCTTAAGTGGAATGGACTGGACGGCACTGTACTTCACTAGATCGGACTGTCTTAGGCTGCGCTTTACTTCCCCCGACTCCACCCTCCATCACACTGCAGTACCCTGGATTGAAAAGGAAAGTACCATACAGTACAGCATACAGTACCATACAGTTCACTGCACTTCACCGGACTGATCTGCATAGAACTGCACTGCACTTTTCCAGATGCACAGTTCCCGAAATGGGCTTGTCTTGAACTGCAGTAACGCGATTTTCCAAGCTCTCAGACAAAAAATGCCCGCCTTTCTTTCATATCCCTTCTTGCGAACTAGAGACAACCTTAACTCCAATACTCTACTATACTATGTAATACTTTTGTAAGTGGAAAACAATCCTCTTCGACTAGCTTTCAATCCATTACTCAGAAATTTAACGTACCTGTGGTTATTTCCAAGCTTTAGAGTCTCCTCGCAGCTGTTGCTCAGATTGCTGTCATGATTATCCATTCCAGTCCTGCTCTAATGATATCCCAGTGTTACAAATTCAATCACTAGCGACCCAGTGATTGCTTGTGTCTTGGGAAAACTAAGTCTCGTGAGAAAAAATACTCGCAAACTTTTAAGAAAATGTGGTATTGCATTTTAATATTCTGCAAAAAGGATTGTTTATACATTGACCATACGATAAAATTTTATTTATTTATCAATTTATTTATTTATCAACTTATTTATATATCAATTTATTTACGTATTTATTCATCTCCTTATTTATTCATCATTTCTTTAGTTCTTTAAGAATTAATCAATTATATTAGTTATTAATATATATTTTATTTGCTCAATTTATCTTTTATTGCACAATTGTTTTTATTTATTTCAAATTATTGGGTTTACTCTTGTTAAATTATCAAGCGAACAAACCCATCTTAAACAGATCAATATACCAAAATTATAATTCTTCACTTGCCATCTATGTGATGCACAAGTCCTGAAAATGGCCTCCTGTTGAGCCGCAGATATAGGAAATTCAAAGTAAAAACTTTGAAAAGTTTCGGTCAGTCCCCGAAAATGGACAGAGCGAAGTTTTGAAATCTTTAACCTGAAAGCCGCAAGAACAGTTTGCACTCGACAATGGATGACTTTGGCTAAATTCAAGACAACTTCCAAACCCTCCGAAAATGGGCGAACACACAGTCAACACCAAGGCGACTTTGATTCCGGGGCTTTTTCATTGGCAGATTGAGAAGTCATTGCAACAATCCAGTTCACGATTCGAGCAAATACCCCGAAATTGGCAATTCAAGCCTCCGAAAATAAGTAGGATTTAAAACTAGTTTCTTAATAAAGGAAAGACACAGAGACGCTCGTATTTTAATTCAATTCTTGAGACAAATTTACACAGGGTGCCACAAAAAATGATACAATATCAAAAAATGATAAATTTGTGTATCCCAAAAATAAAGAAAAGGGTTCGGCATTTTATTTTCTAATACCATATTATATCAATAAATTTACTTAGATTTTTCGAAATTACTTCACAGAACCGAGCAGGAGCAGACGCGCACCTTAGACGAAAAATTTGGCGTCCACAAAATTCCGAGTTTTCCGTGTCAGTAATGTCGACATCCCGATAGTTTGAACACCTACAGTGTCCCAGACGGTGCTTTCATTTTTATATCAACTTGCTAACAACTTTCAGTCGCTTCCCATTGCCTTTGTATTCCGAACTGAAAATCCGAACAAGTTCCGAAAGGCCGAACGAAAAGCTTAAGTGACATTCGAACCGAAAGTGAAGCCGAACCCAGTTAGTAACACGATCTCAATTTTCATCAATACATGCGTAATCTTTTTTGTAAAAGGCTAATTCTCAACTCTTATTTGCTGTCATAGCTGAATTTCTTAAAGCCGATTTCCAATAATAACGTTAAAATCTGGTTGAACCTTCGAGCTAAACTTTTTTTTTATGTTGAACAGTCTTACTCAATCACAGTGTTTAAGATCCCTTCAATCAAGTGAAACTGAAAATGTAATCGGCCACAGTCGAAGTAACTATGGGGAAAGACGTGCGCTTAAGTTAATGAGCAGCTGACTAACACCGAAAGACCTGTTGATGAAGAGCCGAAGTATAAACGAAGCCGATATTGTGACAAACCGAAGAAACGACGAAGAAGAAACGATCCAAACCGAAAATATGCCGAACAGTATTCGATTGAAAGAAAAATTTAAAAAATTTGGAGGGAGGACCTCGCCCAACCTCAAGGGAACCCGCTAAGCTGAATAAAGTTTTTACTTCGACTACTTTGAGCCGAATCAGAAGTACGACAACTTCTAGTAGAATTTGGATTTTATGGTTTAACAAGCGCACTATTTATTAAACCCACAAAGAATCTTACTAACTGGCCGGACATGAGCGTCTTCTAACTGACCTGTACCCAGCCTCCCCGTATGCAACAGAGAGGAAGGGAAGAAAAAACCTGATGGAGCGTTGGCCCTTTTTTTCACCACGCTTTCCCGATCATATGCGAGTTATACTGGTAACGAGAGTCAGCACTTGTCTTGTGATGATGGACTGGACCACTTGGAAAGGAATGGCGCGGACTGGACCGGGCCGTACTGGGCTGCATGGAACTGGACGCTGAGTTTTGGACTAAATGCACAATGCACTGAACTCCACTGAAATGAAGTGAACTGGACTAGCTAGAATGGAATGGACTTCGCGGTGTTTGGACTGGAATGTGTCGTATTAGCCTAATGGGAAAGATATTGTGGGTGAAATAAATAATACGGCAAAACATCATGACCCATTGTGGAAGGGGAAACATTACAAAATAATCATATTCTAGGTCGCAACCATCGCATATGTCAGAAGAACTGAATGGGGATTTTCTGTTCACCACTTTTTGCTGAAACATTGCAAAATTTGGTTGGTCTACACGCAATAAATTTAGGTCATTTTTCCAGAGTTACCCTCGGGAGTAATAAGATCGGAAAAAACTGTTTAATTCGAGTCACTCCTTAACCCTTCACAGCTTTACACCAATGTTTTTACTCTCAATACTGTTCGCTATACATTTCTTAAGGAGAAAGTGTTTAACTATCATGACCTTCGTTTGTTGGTGATTATTTCCTTTATTCTTGTGCTACTTTAATTTGTCATTAAGGGTGAAATTGCAACGAGAAATAAAATGTTAGTAATTCCTAAGTTTTTAACATTTCCAAAAAAGTGACCAATGTCTGGGAACAAAACCCCCTTCAAATTGCTAAATATCAGTTCACCTAGAGTCATGCCGAGTAAACATCGAGGCGTACCTTAATTTTTCCTTGCGAAATTTGGAGAATCTTATTGTAGGATTATATTTAAACATTTTCAGATTATCGCTTAATTTCAAGATCAGAAAGGAAACAAACAAACAGATGAAATCTTATGCAAATTGTGGCGATAACAACCAATCATGTAAACAAGATTTGAATTCATTAAAAACTACTGACATAGAGGGCTTTTTGTCTTTAAGTCAAGTCAAGTCATCTTTCTTTAGGCAGGCTGGTCCCATCCGCCATAGGCTGGTATCAAAAGGGGCCCTGTATAAAATTAAGAGTACATGATAAAATTTTTCAAATTTACGAAGTACCATAATGTACAAGGAGTTTAAAAATTCGAGTAAAGGGAAATTACATTTCCATGAAGTACAACTTTTTTAAGATCAATACAATAAAAAAAGCAATTAAAGCATGTCTAAGTATTATATTAATAGAAAACTAATGACTAAAATGAAAACTAAGAGAGTTCTTAAAAATGGAAAGCGACGTGGCTTCTTTTACCGGTGTGGGTAAGTCATTAAGAACAACCGCGCTGAAAATCTGAATGTATTTTTCCCCAACGTTAACTTTGGGTTCGGTAAGCGGATGTCATTCCTTTGACTTGTCGCGTAAGTGTGAATAGTGTGATTTCTAATGAAATAATTCGATAAAAATGGAGGAACTAAGTCATTCATTTATTTAAAAACTAAGATACACTTGTGGGCTGTTTTTTGTGCTTCCAAATCGACCCACCCTAACATTTTGAACGCTTCTTCGGTCGTTGCCTTCCTTTGCATTATGTGTGCTGCCCTGTTTTGTAGACGTCGGATGCATGCTATTGACAACCCACCCCATACCGTATCAGTGTAATCTGTTTAGTATTGGCTGTACTAAACTACTATACAAACATTTAGCAGCTTTTAGGGCGAGGAAAGATCGTATGCGGGACAGCAGGCCGAGATGCTTGCTCACTTTGTTACAAATCAGTTCTACATGCTCGTTCCACGAGAGATTCTCGTCTAGTATAACCCTTAAGCAACAAAAACTTGATACCCTTTCAATTTCTTTCCCATGGAGTTGTACTCCGTGGTCTGAACAATGTTCTAGTTATTGCCTAGTACCAAACAGCATTCATTTAGTCTTATTCTGATTGAGTACGAGCCTGTTGCTTGCTAACCATTTTTCGACATTGTTTAGATAGTTTTGTAAAACCTGCTCGACGATTTCTGCGCTAGGGTCAGAAAAGTTGATAACTGTATCGTCAGCGCACATGCCTATTGATGACTTAAGCAGACTTTGCGTAAGATCGTCGATGTATAACACAAACAAAATCGGGCCCAAAATAGATCCTTGGGGGACCCCATAGCAGATAGTTAAACTGGATGACACGTCTTGGTTGTATTTGACTTTCTGTGTTTGAGTAGCAAGATAATCTTCAAACCATTTCAGGCTAGTCCCTCTAATTCCATAATGTTCTAGTTTATGCAGCAGACAGTGGTGGTCCACTAGATCAAATGCTTTTTTTAGATCTATAAAAATGGATCCGGTAATCCTCCGTTTATCCATTTGTTCTAAGATGTAGTCAACAAAGTATACAGCAGCAGTTTCAGTGGAAAATACTCGAAAATCAAAACTTGTCATGAAAAAGGGGCTTTTCGTCTAAAATATCAGAAGATTTACAAATCTTCTTTGAGTAAAAAGCGTATTACTGCAATTTTTATCATTCAGATGATGTTTCGATTAAAAAGAAAAAACAATAAGTGTGAGCCTAATTTTTCACTTCATAGCTTGTAACTAATCAAAATTTAAGAGCACAAACCACGCTTTCACCACGTTAACGCGGAATTTCAGCAAAGAAGATTTAAGATTAGAAATGGTCCTCCGCGCGAAAACAGTTTCAAAGAAGAATTTCAAGGAAGCTGATTTTGCAAAAGAAAGATACTCAATAGAATTTCTACTGCTAAGTAATTGACGGCTTCTGGGCAGAAATACGAGCAACTGAAAAGAATCAAAGGATTTAATAAAACGAAGCTTCGACCTAAAACCCCTCTTGAATTTGTAAATTCATAGTTTTACTTATTTATATAAGCGTCGATAAACACTTACCTGCTTCCGTCCGTTGCCAGAAATGATACGTAATGTTAAGTTTAACAAAATGAGAAACGAAAGAGGGCTTCCAAAGGAGAAACACTGTGTAAGGGCTAATATTATGACAAGAAAGTCACCGAGGTAGAATTTCTCTAAGCTTGAGATAATTTCAAAAAGTGCACCGTTTAAAACTTCTGCGTGCACGTGGGTTGTCGAGCTCTTCCCTGAATGGCTCGTCTAATTGCACGGGTTTTTAGCGCGCACGATTTTTCTAATTAGCACCATTCATTAGAGGCACATTTTGTTATGGTAAAACGCAAACGGCAAATTAACATCTGGGTTCTCTCATTTTTCTTCCAAGACAAAATACAGAAGGGCCTCGCAACGAGTACAAAAGTTTTGCACAAAATGCAGAAACTGAAAGGGAAGTAACAAAACTTCCATTTTTGTCGTAGTCGTTCGTCGTGGGTTAGTGAACTCCTCCTGAAGGGCTCGTCTAACTGCACGGGTTTTTAGCAGGCACGATTTTTCTAATTAGCACCATTCATTAGAGGCACATTTTGTTATGGTAAAACGCAAACGGCAAATTAACATCCGGATTCTCTCATTTTTCTTCCAAGACAAAATACAGAAGGGCCTCGCAAAGTACAAAAAGTTTTCAAAATGCAGAAACTGAAAGGGAAGTAACAAAACTTCCATTTTTGTCGTAGTCGTTCGTCGTGGGTTAGTGAACTCCTCCTGAAGGGCTCGTCTAACTGCACGGGTTTTTAGCAGGCACGATTTTTCTAATTAGCACCATTCATTAGAGGCACATTTTGTTATGGTAAAACGCAAACGGCAAATTAACATCTGGATTCTCTCATTTTTCTTCCAAGACAAAATACAGAAGGGCCTCGCAACGAGTACAAAAGTTTTGCACAAATGCAGAAATTGAAAGGGAAGTAACAAAACTTCCAGTCGTTCGTCGTGGGTTAGTGAGCTCTTCCTGAATACAAAAGTTTTATGTTAAGTGCAAATGGCAAATCAACATCTGGGTTCCAAGACAAAATACGGAATGCAACAAGTTCGAAAGTTTTGCACAAATGCGAAAAGTAACAAAACTTCCAGTCGTTCGTCGTGGGTTAGTGAGCTCTTCCTGAATGGCTCATCTAACTGCACGGGTTTTTAGCGCGCACGATTTTTCTAATTAGCACCATTCATTCGAGGCACATTTTATTATGTTAAGTGCAAATGGCAAATCAACATCTGGGTTCCAAGACAAAATACGGAAGGGCCTCGCAACAAGTTCGAAAGTTTTGCACAGAATGCAGAAACTGATAGGGAAGTAACAAAACTTCAATTTTTGGTGTAGTCGTTCGTCGGGGGTTATTGAGCTCTTCCCTGAATGGCTCGTCTAACTGCACGGGTTTTTAGCGCGCACGATTTTTCTAATTAGCACCATTCATTACAGGTACATTTTGTTATGGTAAAACGCAAACGGCAAATTAACATCTGGGTTCTCTCATTTTTCCTCAAGGAAAATAAAGAAAGGCCCTCGCAATGAGTACAAAAGGTTTTCACAAAATGCAGAAACTGAAAGGGAAGTAAAAAAACTTCAATTTTTGTCATAGTCGTTCGCATTAGGACTATCCTTCTATCAAAATAGCAAAATATGATATGAAATAAGCCATAATTATTATTTTTCACGAGATTTAATATTTTTTTCTGTTTAGTCACGGCTGAAATGATAATAAAATAATCGACAAAACTTATGAGAAAAATTAAACCTTGTGCTATCCGCCTGGCCTTGGTTGTTCAAAGGCTAGGTGATGTTATTTACCGGATAAATCGCTATCCGCTGGTTAAGTGTCTACCCAATATACACGCGATTTTAAGCGCTTTATTTGCATGAAACTTTTGGACTTTCTAATAGTGCGAGGTTCACATTTGTGAGTGTTATCTTAGCCCTTAAGGTTATCTCTAAATTAGCCGTTAGTGCGTTTATATATGTGCTATATACGTGGCTACATGTGCATCTATCTCGCATAGTTAAGAAAACACCACCAAATGATAATATATGTACTAAACTTTTCGGAAATAGTAGTGGAAGTTGGAATTGTTGGTGAAGTTAGTAGACGTTGTAACAACAGGTAGTGGTATATTAAACAAGAAGCTATTGTGGTCCAAGACTTCTGGTACTCTTCTCTCAGCGGGTTCAGTTGCTCAAGCTATCTGCCCCCTAGCGTCCCAACTCTTTGATACAACCTCGGACTCCTGCCAAGTTGTGTAGTTTTTATGCCTTTTTTTTACCTGGGTATCAATCATCGGTCGTATAAACAAAATGTTAGATACACATCAAGGAAATCACGTCTTGCCGTGGCTTGTTCCTCCGCTTCCAATACAAATTGTCTACAGGCTCGACTTACATGTTTCAGTTCGTTTTGTTGCTTAAAGAAATCCATTATAAAGGTTAGTAGAAGCTTAAAGAAAGATTATTGTACGTTGATACTAGCGTAAGACACATAAATGAGATCGGAGCCCCTTCGTGTAGATTCCAGAGAAAATTCGTGTTGCGATTTAGGGATCTAGAGATTTAGTGATTTTCAATACACTAAGTTTATAGTATTTGGAAGGTCAACCGTGGAAGATTTTCCCTTCATATAGGTTGGAAAGATATTTCCTTCTCGTAAAAAAGGGAACCAAAGAATTCTGTACTGAGGAGGTCAAGAATTCCTCTTTGGCTACATTGTAAATAGAAGGGAGTACCTTTGCTACAGAAACTATAACTACGAATAATCATTTTTTAAATAATTTAATTGCTGTATGTTTTCCTTTTTGCCAGAGAAGCAATGTCTCAAAACTTGATCAAAACTGGGCATAAAAGCTTTCTTCTCAGAATTTTCATGTTTTTACGAACAAACCATAACAAGAAGAAGAGTTGGTTTTGTCAAAATTATACTTTTAAAAGGAGCTGAAGTAGGCTCTGAAAAGTTTGTTTGGTGCTCTCAGTGATTTTCTTACACAACGAGGGAAGATTTGTCCAATTTTAAGATTGTTGGATATCTCGAAGTAGATACTTAGTCTAATCAGATGTGTCTGGAGTTTAGACGTCAGTGCCGTGTCATCAGATGATGAAGGGTTGGAATCAGATACATTTTACATTTCTTCTCTCCGTTTCCCAGTTCATCGAAATAATAGGCAGGGAGGTTTTTATTCTCCATTTAGTGATATTTGCTACTTTGTGTAATATATCTTTTGCATCGTGTATTGTGATTGTAGCAGTAGTCTGACAGCACTTGCAAAGTGATGCGCTTATTTGCGAGTCATTCGCTATGTTGTGTAACTAGAACGGAACGTATACTGTGATAGAAAAAAAAGAAAGAGAGAGAAATTGTTTTGGTTAACCCACAACTATGGGTCCTAAGAATATGTTGTTCTTGAGTATAAAATTCATTTAAGAAGAGATCGGCCTTTACTCTCGAGCTCTTTCGAACAATTAAAGATTTCCGTTTCGCAAATGACACATTTCTGATTCGCAAATTACAGATTTCGAGTCTATTTCGCAAATTACAGATTTTGGTTTCGTTTCGTTTCGCAAATTACAGTAAGCCCTCCCAACGAATCAGCAAGAAATGAAACAACGGTTAGATGATGACATCGAAGCAGCTGAGGTAGGGCTGCATGCGGACGCCGAACGAGAGCTCTGAAATTTTAGAGACGTTTTTCGTCCAAGCATTCAAAATTTTAGGTACAGAAAATTTGCTCACTTTTTTGTAATTCCTCTTCCAAAAGTTTCCTGCGGGCTTTGGCAGAAGAGACGAAAGAGGCAAGTGTCCTGTATAGTGATGACCACGTGTGGAAATGAATGAAAGTGATGTAACACACTCGGGACCAACGGATTTGCATGTATCTATAAAGCGTGTGTTTAATTTATTCTGAGAGTTCTTTTCGCCGAAAAGAGCAAATGTGTAACGGACGTGAATAAGCGGTTTCAACTTAACCGTACTACAGCAAGTTTGATCTGCTTCATTGCTGCAGCTTTCTTGCATAAATCGAACAGTTTTGCTTTTTTCTTTACTTTTCCGCCTTCACCCAACTGAATGCCTCTCTTCTACAAATAATTTTTCATCTTCCCACATTAAATTTCGATATATTTTCGCCCATTTTCACCGCCACATCACTTATCCCTTATACTGACGAGAGAGACTTCCCACTTGGCTTTTTCTCCGCGCCGTAATCTCGGCACCAGATCACTGAACCGCGAGAATTCGGAATTGGCGTTCTCCCTGCGTTGAACGCAATAATTTGCCATCGGGGTTTCCGTTCTCAAAATTTTCAAACCCTAGCGATTTTACTTTGCTTTAAAGCAAATGACAACCACGAAGTTTTGACATACACGTGCACAGCTATAAACCTTCTCGTTAAAGCTATTTTTCCGCTACGTTCTTGATGCCGTTGCCATTCTCGATTCATCTTGTCTCGACCGCGGTTATCCAACGGTGGTCCAGATCCTTTTAAAGCACAATGCTGTACATAACCTTCTCATTCCCCCCTCTCTCTTTCTCTCCCTCCCTCTCTTCAACACTGTTTTTTTCATGCGCTTTTTTCGTAATAATGTGTGTGAGGGTTGGGATGGAGTTGATTTATGAAAGTACCGAGTGGTACAATTGGCGCCATACATCTTATCATCAAAACACTTTCTTATGCTTTTTTATGACACTTTTACACCAAAATTTTCAAATCAAAATTCTGGTGAAGGATGGATGAATTACGCATGAAGTATCAAATAATTCAAGTTTTATTTTCAACATTTAAGTTTTGTTTTCAAAATTCAAGTTCTATGTGCACTTCGGTCAGGATTTCAAGTCTCCCATCCTGTCGCTTTAGGGTAGTTGTCATGGGAAAACCTTTTGACGGAGCTAAAATCTCACCAAAGTAATTTATAGTCTCGTCAAAAAATATCTTTTGTTGAACCAAACTTCGTAAGAATTCTGCTTCTTCTGTCGTTCCCAGGGTCCTCTCTCTTCCTCCCTCGATGATGAGAGGAGGCCAGGGTGTTCAGGTGAACAGTCCGGATTATCTCTTTTGTGTCTTTGTGTCATTGTAAGATGGTATTTCATAGCCTTCTTCACATTAGGGAATTTTTTTCTCCACTCTTAAGATTGTTGGATATCTTGAAGTTGATATCGAATCAGATGTGTCTGTGTTTTAGACATCAGGGTATCATCAGAAGATGAAGGCGTTGGCCCCACATTTTATACTTCTTCTTTCGGCTTCCCTGCTCATAGGCATGTAGGCAGAATATACTAAGAGACTCTTCCTCTTAATTTAGTGTCATTTGATACTTTGTTTAATTTGTCACTTTGATAGTGTATTGTGATGCCGGGTGGCATTAGTCTGACAGCAGTTGCAGAAGTGATGCGCTTATTAGCGAGTCACTCGCCATGTCGGACCGTGTAATGTGAAAGAAAAAAGAAAGGGAGGAATTGTTTAGGTTAACCCGAAACTGTGGGTCGAAACAAAACGTTGTTCTTGATTAAAATACCTATTTAATAAGAAATCGGTCTTTACGCTTGAGCTCTTTCAAACAAACCTCTTCCCTATAGAAAGTTCTCATTTTTGCGCGAGGCTTACTTTCCATTTTAAAAGCTATATTTGACGGACAACTCCCTGAAGAATGTTTTCACCGCTTGCCCTGTTTTCAAAATATGCTTGCTAAGCTCATTATTCTTTCGAGTAACCTGTAGCCGACGTTCACATATCTCCTTGATTGATATTATAACGAACTGGGCGATTAATCAAAATTTCAGCTAAAAGGGAGGGGCTCTTTTTGCAAGGAGGACACTCAGTCGAAGCGGCGGATGAGGACTTAGTATTATCCTGTACCGATTCCGCTGTAGTTAAAGCTTAAAAACTTATTTATAAAAAAGGCAATAGCGACAGGTTTTCCTTTTATCCCTACTATATAAGACCATCTGAGAAAGTGAGGAGGAGGGAATGCTTTCTCAAGGGGGGAGCTTGTATGACATTATGGCCCAAGGGTTGGTGCTTATTCGGGGGAGAAAATAAAGTATGTGAGAAACACTTTTGAAGTTGACTCCCCGTTGTCTAAATTGGAATAGGTTTCTGTTATGGTGAAATTGTGTCAGTCCATTATTGTGCCGCTGGGGTGGTTTTAAACCACAACATCACAAAAGACTTTTTCTTAGAAAATCAGAGAGACTAGGTACCATGCATCATTCTTGCTGAAGTTATAGAGACTGGAGTGTGTAATTTTCATTCGTTGTCAAACTAATCTTTTGTATTATTATGGTTTAAATATTTCTTCTCTCATTCCCATCCACGAATTATGTATATATATTTTTTTACTCTCTAGTTTTGGAAAATGTTTGACTTTTTGCCAAAGTCAATCTTTTCGGAGAATCGTCCAAACTAAACAAGATTTCAGAAGGCGTTTTCTTCAGGTAAGGATAAAGACCACAATCGTCGAACACACTCGTTCGTTTTTATGTTTCTTATTTTGCTGTCTTTGCTTGTGCAATTCTTGTTTTGTTTTATTTTTCCGTCTTTGCCGGAAATCTGTCAAGCTTCATTCAGTCTCATTCTCACTCTTACCTTTTGTTATGTTGTGAAAAACCCTGAATCAAGCTAACACTCCATGTCAAGTTTTCAAACAAATGTAATTCCTAGCTTATTTAGGCCCCGTTCTGACTTTAGACATATTTTCTAGTTCTTTGTAACCTGAAAAGGGAACAGTTTAGACCACGACAAACAAAAAAATGTAAATGAGCTGAGAGATGTACGCCTACAAAATCAGATGAAAACTGTGAAGGAGTTTAGTCTAAATTTACATAATAGAAATACATGAATCGAGATGGGATTTAAAACGGGCTCTGATAATTAACATTTCAATCAATTTCTTATTTGATTCTTATGCAAAATCAATCTTGACCAAGAGTATGGAGGCGGGAGAAAGATATGTAAACGTAGTCACGAAAATGCTTGACGAGAACAGAGGGAAAAAGAAAGAAAATTAATTTTTAAAGAGTTCATGAGCAGGCTTTACAACTAGACATAAAGAGAACAAGTGAATTTGTAGCCAGTTCACTAAAATGACAAGTTTTTATAAGGCAATTAAGAGCGGTGAGATCTGCTTTGTGACTTAATCATGCGTTTCATCCTATCTTTACACACAACGATCTCTGCAATCCTTGCAGTGCGTTATTTCAGATCGCTGCAAATAAACCTGGCCAAATGAAAAGTAGTCAGTGTAGAAACCAATCCCCCTCCTAGCCCCAGTCTGCGTGGCTATCCTCATAAGTTTGATTTTCGCGCGGATCATGCAAATATAACGGTGTTAGCTCGAGCAAAAGGCAATCGCAAGAACGTTCTTATGCAGCCGTATTCCAAAATCGTCAGGTAAATTGCCATTAGTATTGCCTATGTTATACATATTTCTTGTTATTTCCAGTCTTGTGATGAGTCTTTCCGTTCTTGATATTTTATGTTCGTAATACTTAACCACTGGCAATGGTGTGGAAATAAGAAGAGTTCGGTCGAGTCGCCAGGAAATTAGACTCCCCTTAAATTGATTGCTGGTACGTTAGATACAGTCAGTTCCTGATCTTGTTTCCAGTGCTACATCCGCGGGAGAGGGGAGCAATCAGTTTCTTATCAACCATATAAAGTTAACAAGATCTAATACCGACCTTCGACCTGAAACCCTAGACCCTCGACCACAGGACGGACTCAACGAGAAAAAAACCCTCCCCATGTAAATTTACACGAATGTGTCTTTTTGAACGAGTTTTTAAGGTAAGAAAACTTGATGGGTTTCCTTGAAATTTGGTCTAAGAAGACTCTTTTCATGACAACCAAAAAGATGTTAGGGAATCCCTTTTTTGCAATTTATCTCCGCACTGGCCTCCGAAGTAAAGCGTATCGGCAAAATTTTGCCAAATTAAGTTGACAGAAAGATGACAACGCAACTAATAGGAATATGGGAAAAACATCATCCCTTTCGAATTGTCGCGTCTTAGACGATTAGATATTGAACCAAGCTAAAGGAAGCAAGTTTAGTCAGATTCAGTATATTTCATAACATTTTCATTGACGAGTAGTTTATGTTGGTTATGTTGCAAATAGCACGTTGACTGTTTTTTTTTTGAGCGAAGGACAACCTAGATGTTGATACAGGTGGTTTGTAAACATGCTACTCTGTCAATGGCAGAGGGTAAGATATGAACCACACTAGTGGGACCTTGCACTGATGAACATTTCGTCGTTGACAGCCGAGTGATTGACGTTTCCACAACCTGAGCAGAAATCATAATCAGGGTCTTGTCAAGTAAGGAATTGTGATTGGTTAGTCGAGTGTTAAAAGTCAGGTTCGTGAGAGTTAATTGGTTACTGACTGTAAGACTTAGTTAGCTTATTTGAGTTGTGATTGGTCAGTTTCGATAATTACGTTAAGTAGGATAGTTCTCTTTAGTTTTGACCAAATAAATGATTAAACGAGGTACAGAAGAATAGAAAATCCAGTTTTCATAACAGATGCTTTAAATTTTTAGCATCATTATTCTGAATCACCTCTCCAAACAACTTTGTGCGCACGAGCTGGTGCTTATCTAATCACCTTTGGTGACGTAGAATTCTAAATCATAATAGCGTGATAAAGAAAATGAAACAATGGGCATACTGTTTTTCGTTATATACTTTGCAGTGTTAATATCACCAGGTAAGAAGAGCAATCCCAGAATTTTACGTATTTCTTACCTGGTAGGTTTACTTCCACAAGCCTTTCTAGGGAATCTAGCATTTACCTCGTAGTTTTACTTGAAATGCCAGCAATAATAATAAACGTACTTACTTTTTCTCAAAACGATAAAAGGTCATTAAATTCCCAGTACATTATACAGATGATCATGGATGCTAGAAGAGGCCTACTCTGAGACCTTAAGTCGCTTTAAGTCGCCTTAAGTCGCCTAAAGTCGCCTTAAGTTTCCTTAAGTTGCTACTGGTTACGCAATGTCACAAGGGTTCCACACTTCCCAATTGACCCTATCCACTCCACTCCAATCATAGTTTTCTGCAGCTAGAAAAGTAGTTGGAGAGACTGGAAAGGAAGTAGTTTTACGAAGGACCTTAGCATTTGGTTCTCAGCATGGTATTGGGGTGTTTTGTCTAACTGAGGCAGGAGACCAACAAATTGGTTGGGTTACTGAAAAGAACCCGCGCAATTTTGGATGCTGTTGGAAAGGCATGCGACTTGCCAAACTTTCATGCCAAAATTGACAGTGCAAGTGCCAAAAATATTGGAGACAAGTTTACCATGATAACAATTTTTTTAATTTGTGCAGCTTTGTGAAATAATTAATACACGTAAATAATCATGTTATTTTTAATTGATTACGTGGAAAATTTATGGATAGCTTCATGAAAGTTATGTCTCTTCTTAAATTAAAAATTTATGTCACTCTGTGTATATTTATGATAGGTCTCTTGATGTTGGGCATATAACCCATGATATTTTCCTGGCCATTTACTTACTAGCTTTGACTGTATAATTTTACAATAACTGTTGTGGTAATTCTGTGTGAACACTTTTAGCTAAATTGGTTTCCTGGCTATTTATTCACTAGCTTTGACTTTATAATTTAACAATAACTGTTGTGGTAATTCTGTCAGATTTTATCCTTCAATCCGCTAATCTTTAGTAATGAGTGGGATTTCAAACATGGGTATTTCCCAAAGGTAGCTTTTCTAGATGGTGGTGTTTCCTTACAACAACGCTGTGAAGTCTTTCTCGTTTTATTTCATTTTTGATGTTTTCATTTCCATGTTGGTGGAGCTGTTCTTGGACTTTGCGTTATTTTACTTTCAGGCCTCTTGCTTCGCTGCCACATTTGTCCACCCCATGAGCGGCAAGATCTATCTGCTTGTCTCGCACACTCGCCCCAGGAATGTAAAAATTATGAGAACGCTTGCTTCTTTGAATACCATGGAAGGATAAAGAACATGGGCTGTGGCCGTGACTGGCATAAACCAGCGGGATGTCATGGCGTAAAATGGTGTCATAGTGACTTGTGCAACAAGGAGCTCATCAAGCATTCACCTTTTCGAAAGGAACTTAAAGAAGACAGCGCTCCGGATGACACGGGAAACTGGTTTATTGATCTGTTTGGCGGTAGCTCGATGTTATCGGCTGCTTCAATTTGTTGTATTCTTACAATGTGCTTTTGTGCAGTGGTCTTCCCCTGAGAATCGATAAATACTCCTATTTTCTTAAGTTTCTCGATTGTAACATAATTCTCTCGGCTCTGAAATCAGCTACGAATCACCGTTCGTGTCCTCTGAATAAAATGCGTTCTTTCGTAAGATTTTCATTTTCTTTAACAGCGACTTAAAACTCTTTCCCTTTTAATTAAGAGCTCACTCTTGTTATTCTTTTTGTGTTTGCATTTGAGTATATGCACGTGAAGATATAGGAAATTTGTATCACCTTTGATGACCTTTTAGTATAATGCTGGCTGCATGATTATTGCAATTTTGACCTCTTTTCACTTCCAATCATAAGAGAACATACCATGGTTGTGGTACGGGTCAGGAAAAAGACAGGGAAAAATAAATATCTTCAAGGTCAAGAAGAAAGTAAGAGAATTTAAGTCTTTGAAGAAGTTACGAAAAAATTAAATTTCTAGACATTCATCTTATTTTCGCCCTCTTCATGATGAAAAATGGTGAAACCCTCCTTTTCTATATGTTGATGCTACTCACGGTTATCGTTTTGTTTCAAACATTTGACAGATTTCCGACCAGCATATTCTTTCCCTCGTTTGTAATGCAAGTTAATTTGTGAATTAAATCATACGTTTTCTTTTTCTTTTATTTTCATTTTTCTCTCATAGATGAAATCATGTTGTTACCTACACATACATAACTGATATTCTATTTTTTATACAGTACACTTGCTACGAAAACTCTGATTGATCGGGAGTTACAGCCAATATGTAATAGCATGTGAAGTTGACATAATAACCCAATATCTGCAGCAGATATTGGGTTATCATGTCGAGTTCAAAGTCTCGCACTTCAAGCCCCTCGTCTCTGCAGTGTTCATTCAGGGAGGTGTCTTCTTTTGCAGATTGTTCAAAAAATATGTAATAAACAATTATTGAATTTGATTTTTGCATGACATCGTGAATTATTACACCTTCGGCTTTGGCACATAACTCAGACCTCGGCGTTGATAATTCATGATCTCATGCTCAACCTCATCCAATAATTACTTAGTATTCCTTATTTCAACTGTAGATATTTCAATTTTCCCTCTACCTTTCTTTAGTTTTGAGTTAGCGTGATAACTTGACATAGTTTCTGCTGACAAATGCATTTATTCGGTCGGTTGTCAAAATGTTACTCTCAGGTAGAGCGAATATCAGGGTAAAAATTACAATGCAAAATTTTTACAGTTTTACTTTCGGAAACGACCAATTAATCGTGTAGAACTTACAACGAAGGACACAGGCTGCCAATTTTAATCTGCGTCTGCCAGATTAACTTCATTACACCATATGACTACTGCACGTAAAATAAATTTTTCAAATAAAAATGTGGACATTGCTTGTGTATCATTCACCACAACAAACGCACAGCAAGAATTTACTTTAAGCAGGAAATGTCGAATTAAAGTTTATTGGTAAATAAAAACGCAGTAACAGCTACTAGTAGAAAGTAATCGCGAAGAAAAAAGAACGCTTTCGAAAATCTTTGTGAATAGATTTTTGTAAATGGGTTTCGGAGAGTACAACGGATAAAAGTTTGCATACTAATTATGACCTGGATAGCCACATAAATGGACGTTATCGCAGCGTTTTTGGTATCCCCCAACCCAAAAAGTTAAAGGTTTCGGCATTCCCTTTGATGATACCCAGAACACTCAAAGTGATATCCAATATTTTTTTTTTGCAAAATCTCACCATCGGCTTTACTGGGGAGGAGAATATTGTTCTGCCCTCCAAGCTTAGAAAAAGAGGGGATACCTAAATCCTCACTGATATGTCTATCTTCTAATATGCAAAATATTAATGATGATATTGGTATCCCTTCCAACATACAAACCAAGTTCTTAGTCAGCACCTGTCATATGTCACCTATCAACATTGTTGTTGTTGTCTTTTAGCTACCATACATTACAGCCAACAAATTTGGTAAAAACGAATATTGTTGCTTTTTTCGATTGAGAATTAAAAGAAGATGCCTAATCCTCATTGATAAGGCCGAGGTATCCCTTCCCAGATTAATGATGGCCATTCTCCACACTTGTATACAACAAATCCAAATAAATTGTTTTTGCACCCTCATAATCATTAAAGGATTTAGAGGAGGGAATTTCCCAGTGGTGGAAGTTTAATGGTGGAAAACTGTCATATTCTTCCGGTTTACATGACCTACATAGTTCTTATTCTTATCTTTAACACATGCAGAAGATCACAATCATGTGAACTACGCATAAGAATAGTACTTTCCAGCTACAGTCTTCGTGTCTAGTATAGCAGGATACAGGGATACCAAAACGCGGGGATACCAAAAACGCTGTGACAACGCCACGTAAACAAAACTTATTTGATGCAGGTAATAATGGTATGTGTATTACACATAAGAAACCGACCTTGATGTATTAGTATGGGCACGAGTCGATCAAACTGGGCACGAAAGGACTGAGAACGAGATGACTAGTAACACTTAAAGTAAGGTCGGCAATATTATTACCTGTGTTAAATAAATAAGCGGCCACCTATTGCTGTTTATTTTCCTATGCTAGAATAAACGAGTTTAATCCCGTTTCAACGGTAGTAAATTTAAAATAGCAAATGGAGAAGAAAAATCACACTCACAGTAGCTGTTATTGTTAAAAAAATCACAGGCCTAAACATTTGACTGTTCTTTATAAATTATCATACTTACCTTGCGGTAGTTAAGAGGGTATTACAGTAAATGGTTTGAACTCGGGGATAACATGAAATGGCGTAGTTTGATCGTCCGGGCGTGTGTAATCCTGACGAGAAGTGTTGTCGGTAGTGTTGACTGACGTTTCGACCACCTGAGCGGAAGTCATCATCAGAGTTGTTGTTGTCAGTCGAATGTGTTAAGTCCGGGTCGATAATCTGATTGGTCAGTTTTGCTGTGATGTTGTTCGCTGTAAGACTCAAGTAGCGTAGGTCAGTGGTAATTGGTCGGTCTTGATCCGTCGCATTTTTATCTGTTTCGCCCGTTTCCGCCTTCTTGATAATCCCACCTCCCACGTTTTCCGCCTTTCATATCATCTCCAGAGTGAAGGAAAGAAAGGGAAGAAAGGATAGAGGGAGGAAGAAAGGAAGGAACAGGGAAAAAATAAACGGAAAGAAAAAGGTCAGCGTGAAAAAGAAAATTAACAAAAATGAATAAAAGAGGTATTACAACCGGAATTTAAAGGTCCGGGGACGGTAAGGTGACACCACCCCTCCCTTCTCCCATCCTGTTACGGACCCGCACTTTTCAAAAAGGAGGAAATTACAGATTATTTACGATTTAATTGTAATTTCAGAAGAATATTGAAACCGTTTCTTACTCTTGATCACGCTGAGTCACTCGTGATCACTCGTGTGTACTTTTGGACAAGACCCTTTTCCTACGGTTTTGAAAAAAGGAACTCCATGTCGGTAAGTTTAAAGTGCCATGTACCTATTTATTCATTTAGTTATCATATAAGAAAGATTGCCGTTACAGAAATCAGAAATAAGACGGCAGGAAATGAATCACTTCTTGAGGTCGAACGCAATTTTTCCCTAGTTTTTGTACATCGAAAAACTATTACTTGTATCAAAAGACTTCTAAGAACTAGATTAGCAAATTTTCTGAGACTAAACTGTAACATGTGAACTTAACGGCTCAAAGTTTTGTTTAAGGAGTTGGCGAGCGAACTAGATAGAACATAAAGGCGTGATCGTTAGCGCTTATAGAGACTGAATAAACAGCTATGCTCATAAGCGTTAATGCAGTAAGCTTTAAATTGCAGTGTAAAGTGTTTATTAGGAGGTAATTATTTTACAAAACAATCCTAATTTAAGGAAAAGTGTAAAGCAGGCGAAGAACAGTCTCTTTAGTGGGCGTCTAGGATGACAAACCCGAACGACTGCCACGAAAAAGATTATTGTAGTTTGAAAATGTGATTAAAGGATTTTTACTTGAAATCATTCATTATTTGTTCTGAATGAAGATCACAGACAAGGAACTTAATGAAAGGATCGTTTTCGTGATATTAAGGTAAATACCTCATGGCTCATCCGTAATACACAGAATACTGTTTGTTTTGACGTAAGGGATATTTGAATCACACGAAGTACCAGGTCGATTGGCCTGCAAACCGAGCTATGAACTTAGAATTGGGTGAATTTTGGAGTCAATAAAAACGAAGCGTAACACAGTTAATGTGATCAAATTCCGTGTTTCTTAGTGTCATTAACAACTCATTTAACGCACATTAGGCTAAAAGCAACCGACTTCGTTGCATGGCATTGTTGGGAATCTTTGCAAACATCCACGCACTACATCTCAGTTTTGTTATGAACACATTATGAAGAGCTTAATGACGTGTCAACTGACCTATGCATAGCTCCGGATAACTTAAGGCCGCTATAAAAGCTTATTAGCTGAACTCAGCTGCCAAACATTAGCAAATTGAAGTGACTATGGCGCACAGCAGTTCTAAGCCGAACACAAGAAGCGCACCAGTTTTTTACGTATCAAGAAAGGAAACATTCAGCGCTGGCCATAGGTTAGTGAACCCGAAGCTTAGTGAAGAGGAGAACTGGCAATTATTCGGAAAATGTACAAATCCAAACGGCCATGGACATAACTACCGGGTTAAAATTACTCTCCGCGGAAAACAAGATCCTAAAACCGCCATGGTAATGCACTTAAGCAAGGTGAAAGAGCTTCTGAAGTCAGTACTTGAACCACTCGATCACAAAAATCTTCATATGGATATCGATTTCTTCACGATCAACATGAGCACAACAGAGAATGTAGCCAGGTACATATGGAATGAGATGGATGAAGTGCTACCCAATGGTATCTTGTATGAAGTTAAAGTGTCCTCCACTGATAACAACACCTTCGTATATAGAGGAGAGGATGAATAGCCCTACCATTTGATGGTTCAGTTTATTTTTTTGGGAAAAAAGACAAAAAAAAATAGTTTAGGTCACTTTTTCACACATTGCTGGTTGACCTAAGAGTCGGAGCCACCTTTTTTCTTGAGTGAAACACTGACTGGCTTCGTACAAACAAGCACTGTTTAGACTTGACTTGTGGAAGCACTATGTAGATATCTTTCAGTCACACATCAAGCAAAATGTTAAGTAATACAAATGATTGTTTATTTCGATCAATACTACTCAAAATAAATAACATCAAGAAAACAGATCAAATTGTGAGACGCACATTTCATCAAATACTAAGTACACGTAATTTTTAAAGTCATGAGCCGAGTAGACCCGAATGGTACGCCTTTTACGAACTTATAACAATCAATGCTTATGTTAAATTTACATTTAGCATGCAGTCTCTTTATGATGTGCATCAATGACATCTTGCGGCAAGATAACATTACGGTGAAAGACATTCTGAAATTCTGAAACTTAAGGTACTTGTATTATGTTGTGCCAGGCTAATGTGATGTTTCTTCTCAAGATCTTGTAATATGTTATTTGGTGATCCGTAACACCACGAGATTACCCTTTAATACTTAGTTTGGCAAAAGTGCGGTTGACAGGATTGTTGCCTACTGATTGGATCTCATGTTCTAAGCTAAGCCACCGTTAAGTTTATTGACAGATAACAATTAGAAAAGACAAACAAACGAAGACGAGAAAAAGCATCACCAGTTCTTTAATCTTTGCTTATAGAGCTGTCGCTTAGCTCAAACGCGATGAGTACCTTACAATTGAATCAGGTGCAGGCCACGCTGACTACTTCCACCCGAGAAAACAATCGGTTCAACGTTTGAACCAGCTTCAAAGGGGCTAGATAGCAGGTGTTTAACGGAATCCTTTAATACAATTTTTGTCACCAGACTTTGTATGGTGACTTTTATAGTAGGACTTTAGGCCCTACAAGACGTACACATTTACCTAAAATATAGTGTTCTTGTTAGGCTATTGACCTAACATCGTGCTCTACACTTCTGTGCCACGAAAATTCGAATCTTCGACAACAGCAGCCAGCCATCCCGCCAAGTTGACTTCTTTTTGTTCATATCCAAGAATAAATGGGTGTTTCTGCAAAACAAAACTTACTTAAATTAAATCCTGCTTTAATAAGAAATATTACGAAAATAGAAAAAAACAAAAACAAAAACAAGAGTAGGCCGATTACCAAAGCAACCGTTAAAATGTTGATTGCAAGGCACCTGTCAAAATACAATAGCAGTCTTAGGTACACTAACAATTATGGACAAACCTTCCCAGCCACTTCCCCAAGAGACCGATCCTTTGGGTTACTACCGTGTCACGTAAAAATAAAAAGTGAATCAAGAAATTAATCACTACCACGTACCAGCAACGCGTTATACTTGGGTCGATATCTGTAGTCCTTTATCAAACTAAAAGAAACAACATCATCAACGATAACTATCGAATCATCTACTGAAAACCAAGTTTGTTAAGTCGTTCTGGATTCCTTTAAGATGAAAGGTTTCTTACCATGACTTGACAAAAGAGTAAAAGTTAGCAGTAAATCCTTGTCTGGGAAGTAAAGGAGGATCTTCACTCATCACACGAGACAGAACTTCAAACTCTGTGGTACAATTCCTGTAAGGAAACTCTCCAGTAGCCAGCTCAACCTGCAACATAACCGACAGTAAGTCATGTCTTAGGCACATGAAAAGCACTGTCCGGTTTGATCTCAAGCACTTGGCACAATGTATTTACGAAATAGTTTGAACTGAATGATGCTGAAAAGTAACGCACGTACACACAAAATCATTTATACTTCTTTCTGTACACTTTGTAACAGGCGAAAAGGTCCACATAATGAAGAGGTCTACCTTAAATGTTACGGCAAACGGTTCAAGATGAGGATAACGACATCACTAATTTTAGGCTCGGTATTGAGGCAGAAGAAGACTGACGAGCCAAAGATTCACAAAAATCCTAAGTACTTGGGTTAGAGGTAGCGACAAGGCAGAACCTTAATATAATAACGTTTTAGTTCTATCTACTGTTTTTCTTAGAAAAAAAAAAAAAAAAAAAAAAAAAAAAAAAAGGACAAGACTTTGCTCACCAAACTTATTCCCAAGCTCCACACATCTGCTCTGACGTCATAATCTGGGTTCATAGGGTCTGGCGGGTCAATGCGCTCCGGCTGTTAAAAAAGTATTAGACAATTAAGAGGTAGAAAATCGGTATAGAAGCACAGTAATTCATAGCTTAGAACAAACCTAAAAACCATTTGCCGACAACTGCTTTAAGACTGAAAGGACGTGAGAACAAGAAACTCCTTCACTATGATTTTAAGGAAAGGGATCTTTTGGCACAATGATCAAATATATCCAATAACAATTGTTAGACGCCAGCCAATTAAAGTAAAGTCTAAAAGGTGGCGCGTAACAGGTCGACCTCTTCCCGTTGATAAGACTGCCAGAATACAGTTGGAACAACGCGAGGCAAACGTTAATAAATGAAAAGGGGAAAGTTTCTAAAGAAACTATGATTCTGCGTCAATGGGGGAGTATAGCAAGATCGTTTTGGTTTTTTCAACTTGGCAACCGTAACGAGTTCAAAGTGGCGTTTTGAGCGCTAACCCTTAGTCGAAGCGAATGAAGGAATTGTGGGTTGTGTGTGTGTGTGTTTCTAAGCAGAAAATGGAGCCACGCTACTGACGGCAAAAACAAGAATAAATTAGTTGAATGAAAAGCGTTCGCTAATATCGTGGGGATTATGAATGCCGACTTGAAAGATAAATTATTGTTCAAGAGTTTTGCGGCCTCCCCAACTGCATAGATGTAAGGAAAGTCCGCAGACTACCATGTGCTGTTTAGAATGATTAGGGAGATTAAAGTGTCTAGCGACTGGTTTGGATGCGTCCTTGTCACTCCTATCTACGGCGCAGACGTGTTCTCGGAATCGGTCACCGAGTCGTCTTCCTGTTTTACCAATGTAAAACTTTTTGCGATAAGTGCAAGTTATGCAGTAGATGACATTGGCGGAGGTGCACGTGAAGTGATCGGTGATCTTAATGATCGTTTGGGTTCTGATATTTTCTCAACGTTATGCACGAAAGGACAAGTTTTGCATCGTGCGCGAGCGCATTTGAAAGCTTCGGGTTGGTCATTGGTTTGAAATGAACTTCTAACCAAAATGTTGCTTAGGGTTAGGGTTAGGGTTAGTAGTTGTAGTTGCAACGTTTGAATGAAATTAGTGGAGGTTTCGAAAAGATAGTACCCGTATCAGATTCATTTTAAAGTACTTTAAAGTTTTTAAGAATGATGGATTCAACGGCTTGGTTGTGAGAGTATAATGTGAGAATGAATGGTATGCGATTGGTAATTTCATTTTGTGCCGTTTGTAGTGCTGACTGTCGATTAATTTGTTGGGCGCGGTGGTGGCCTACTTGAACGACAGAAACAAGGTAGCCACGTTTTCCGAAAAACTGGCACACTGCTTCTGATGATTTGTTGAAAAAAATCAGAGTCATCACAACATAAACGACGAAGTCTAAGAAACTGAGAAAACGGAATGGAATTTAAATTAAAACAAGTTTTTAACTCACTGCCATGTAGGCCGCACATCCTGCACTTCTTGTCTTTGCTTTTGAATCAACCAAACGACCACTGATACCAAAATCACAAAGTTTCACGGAACCATTCTGGTCCAGTAAAACATTGGATGGTTTGACATCTGGAATACATAAAGCGAAACTAAAGTAAGTCGATCAAACATTGAGTAATACACCGTCTTTAGCATCAATGACAAACCCTTCTACTTGATACACATCTCAGAGTCGTAGTTTAATTTCTTTGATGACTTGCCTCTGTGCATAACTCCATGGGTCTCCTTTAAATAATTCAAAGCCTTGACAATCTGAACAAGTAACAAATAGAAACAGTGAAAGAATTTCTATCATTCGATGATTTCATGATTTTCACTAACAAGCTGAGATGTACCATAGCTCAAATAAACTAATGTCTATTTAGGAAAACGGCAAAACATAACCTTACAAACCTTACAAAGGGTTTTTGGTTACAAAGTAATCATAATTCAAGTATTTAGGAGTTGTTGAACATATTTCTTGGAATTCTCATGTTAAGTATGTTTGTCCCGATTTGGTAAATGACTGGGAATGCTAGGACGCATTAGGGGGAATCTTACATATGATATATGCTAATTCTATTTACACAGCTTATATTCGTCCTATTTTGGATTATTGTGACACCGTGTGGAACTGCTGCGGAAAATTGTTTCAAAAATGAGCGACAGTGACAGAGCTTTGGATTACCTTAAGTGGCCATCTCTGGTAAATAAACGAGAGAGCCATGTTGATGAACTCGTCAAAAGATGCATTGAAGGACGTCGTCCACAATTTTTTAAAAACTATTTTATTTTTAACAGCTCTGTCTACAATCGAATTACGAGGCAAATGAACATGTTACACTTGCCAAGGGTTAGAACTGACTTAGCTAAAAAATCTTTTTATTTTAATGTTTCTGTAATCTTCAATAAGCTAAATTTTTAATGTTTCAAGATTTTATTCATTTTTACTGTAACTGTATATAGCCCATATTTTAAGATTAACTTAACTTTTCCTAAGGGTTACCAGTAGAAGTAGTATTTTAGCATGATTGTGTAGGTCTTATCATTTTAATTTTTATCAGGGCCCCAATTGATAGCAGTGCTTAGAGCATCTGAATGGGCTATGCTGAATAAATAAAGGTCTTCTTCTTCTTCTTCTTAATTTTCTCAATATTAAGCGCCTCCTTGAGGCTTGTATGAGTAAGTGCACATTGATAATTCAAGTGTATGTCAGTACACTCATCAAGTGCTATTTAGCACCTTCTTAAGGCTTGTATGAGTAAGTGCACATTGATAATTTAAGTGTATGTCAGTACACTCATCAAGCGCTATTTAGCACCTTCTTAAGGCTGGCATAAGTTAGTGCACAGTTATAAACCAACTGTACGTGAATGACAGTACCATCACCAAGTGTTATTCAGTTTTGAGAGCACTGGTTGTGCAAAATAAATCTAGTTTGTGCAGTTTCAAACCAAAATGTTCCAGTTCATGTTCCAGTATAGTTTGGATGATGGATTCAGAATAGCAAATGACAAAATACAAAATGGAGTATACAGTCAGAAAAAGAACAATAATAGCAAACGTGGCATATTGCCAGCATGTAATGTAGAGGGGATTAAGAAGAAAATAGTAGACATACACAGCCCACCCCCTTAGTCCTTAATCTGTAATTCGACCCAACCTTTCACACAATAGAACATATTAATATGGGTAATAACATGATTTCAAATACAATTTGGAAGAAGCACAACACTGCATAGGTCCATAGGGTGAGTGCAATTTTAAGTCTTTGGAAAAACTACAAGTGCTTATGTGCACCACATTATACAAGAAATTATGTTGTTACTTATCAATAATTCACATGAAAAAAGCATCCCTGAAAGCCAAGCCAGTCAAAATTCAGACAGCTGGCACTATTTGTAATTTGCACTTGTGTTACAACTTTGCACTTGTATTACTTGAAAAAGGCACTCATTTTCAGCCAATAAGAAGGGCAAAATTTTTACAGTTATATTATTATATTATAAAGTTAACAGAGAGGGTTGTAAACAATGCAACTCTGTTGTAACAGGAATCTTGCATTTACATCTACATACATGTATGCTGGTACAATGTACTCACAGAGACAGATATTTTCCCCAGCACATCTTCTGGAATTGGAAACTGGAGTTTTTTCATCAATTTATCCAGACATGTTGTCATTAACTCCATACAAATGAAAACATCAGACTGAAAAACAAGAATCACAATCAAGCAACCTTAACCCTAACCCTAAACCCTAACCCTTACCCTAAACCCTAAGCAATTACCACCATGCAGTACTCACAGGCTAATGCTTAAGTGGCTCTTATGAGCATCTTTTGTTTTAAATCAATAATTTTCCAGAGTTAGAGTTGAATTATCCCATTAAATTTGTGTGAAGGGTTATTGGACATTTTATTCCATGCATTAATAATAGCAAAGCCCATTCACATAACTACAGAATACAACAACTAAAATTTTCACAGAATTATACAAAAGCAATTAACAGGATTATTTACATCTCATAAAACTCAACACTGAAAGAAACTGTCACAAGATGAACATAAATGGTAATGATGATTTGTTAAGTAACAGGTTCCAAAGGATGGTTCAAAAGAATGGCATCTAATGTTAAATTTTAAGAACATTTGAAATGGATTTTCACCAGGTTAGGTTACTCTTTAAAATCCCATAGCATGATCATTGTCATAAGTTCATATATTCTTTGATATGGTGGAGATAGCAAATGTATGGTTTCTGGAGCATTCTTATCCTTTCTTAGATTGATATCACACCCACTCACCTAATCTTTCAAAACAGACCCAAACATTTTCATTAACTGTGAATTAACTACTATCAATGACTGTACACATTTCATTTGTCTACCTTAATTTCCAATGCTTCTTGGCAATATTGTTTAATGACAATGTTTTATCTATTATTATTACTAAATGTAAGGAAAATGACCATGAAAAATTTTACAAAACAAAAGATGATCTACACTAAAAATAGAACTTCTGGTACTCCTAAAAAAATCACTAAAAATTAGTTTCATACCCCATTGGGATGTTGCCAGTGAGAAAAAGCTCTTGATGGGACTTTACAATAACCTCACCTTGGAAATAAACGATCCCAGACAGTTGACAATAAACGGGCAGCCATGACACTTCATCACAACTTCAAGATCCATAATTATTCTCTTCTGTTCTTCTTTGTTTTGACTCCTGCGCATTTTCTACACATTTCAAAATGTAGGTGAAAAAGATACAATTTACAACTCCATCATCTTTAAAAATTATATGCATGGCTATGAACATGCTACTATAAAATAAACCCTGCACACAGATGAATGGGCATTGAATTGCAATTTGCTGCAGCAAAAAAGGCATGTGATAATCAAAATTTGCAGGTCCAGAACACATTTTTAGGAATCTGCTTTGGATCTAAAAATTTTGGAAAACAAAAAAAGGTATTAAAATTGATTTGTAAACACGTTTCTCCTCTGTATGTACAGGTTAGCTCTGTCTGTAGAAATTTAAATTTGTCTGATTGATTTCTATTTGGGTCTTTGCTCTTTTGCTTTTCTTTTCTAGGGCAGCATTATTGTAATTAGGCAAAAGTCATATAAAAATAGGAAAACAAATTTATCATTCTTCTAACTAAAAGCATTTTCTAAGGCTTCAGAGTGTTATTGCTTACTGGAGAAATAAGCCCAAGAGATTTGGTAATTTTTACCAATGCCATTGGTGGCTTACTATTTAAAACATTATGAGATTCCAAAGATTAAACTTGTCTTGTCTGTGTTTCAAATTAACCCTTAAACTCCCAGATCAAATTTGTAATTCTCCCTACTGTCAACCAAACAATTCTTATAAGAGTTCAGAGAGTTTGGAATTGGATCAACTAATCATACCCAAATTGATCTCATTCTTTATTCTCATCACTTATCTGGTTGATATTGTATATATATTGTAAAGAGAAATTCTGTCATGGTCACTCATGGGAGTTAAAGGTTAACAGCCAAGTGGCTTAGGAAGACTAAAAATGGTGGTAAGCTTAGGAAATTTTTTTAGCACACTTGAAGACAATTTTTGGTAAGGACAGGTTACTCTTTACAATGTCAAAAGAGTGAACTGTTTGCTGATGTTATGTCATGTTCTTTTCACTCTTTTTTACATTGCATTAACGTGATAGACAAGCAGACTTTCATTTCTTCTAGTTTATGAATTTTTTTCTTTAGCTAAAACTGCACATAAGGAGATGATTTCCAAAGGCAGTATGGCTTTGCTTTAAATTTTCTCTTATTTGTTATGTGCATTAACCCTTGAACTTAATATCAATACAAAATCAAGTATGCAAGTGATGAGAATAAAGAAAAATATCACTCAAGGGATTATTGACAATGAAATTGTGGAAGTGAAAAGGTTTATTCTATGATAGTTTCACAAAATGTGGAATCTTTCCTGTTGATAATTCTAGAGCAGCAAAGCATAAAGTTTACATCAGCAGGTTTGTTTTTTCTGTGAATTAAGTGATTTTCTGCCTGAATATTTACCACTGCATTTGATCTGCAGAATTATTATACAAATTAAAAACTTCCAACAGGGATTCAACTAGGGAATTCCAACAACAAGAATGCAAAATAACCCAAGTTATTTGATAATCTCTTCAAAAACCAAAATATACCTTAACTGCCAACACATCTCCAGTATTCTTGTGCCTCATCTTGCATACTTGACCACATGTCCCACTACCAATTTCTTCAACAACCTCCAAATCATGGATGGTGAAATGCACACTCTGATGGAATTTATACAAACATGCGTTAGAAATTCTCATTTAATGTAACATGCCCTTTGAAGGGTTTATCTATCTATCTATCATCATCATAATTTCCAGATGCTTGAAGAGGTTAAAAAGTTTATTTATATTATTCTTGTTCTATTATTCAGAAAAACACTTAATAGGATACAAGGAAACCTGGGTTTAACAGTGACAAACCACAGACTGAGAAAACTTACATTTTTAGCCAGTAAATTTCAGGCTTAAATTGGCTATTTTAACTACTTTGAACCTATGTTATATCCTACTGGCTGTTGGATGATATTTGCAAAATAGTTGTGGTACTAATATTATTGTGTATGGTTATTTGCTATTAACTGATAATGTTCATAATTCCTTCCATTCTAAACATAATTTGCTAGCAATGGCACACATATTCAGAAAGTATATTGGAATAAATAGAATAAATAGAATAAGAGAGATGGTAAGTTTTGAGCTTGGTAAAGAAAAAGAGAAAGATGTTTTTCATCTTGTCATGAGAATGGGACAAAGAAAAAATTCTGAGTCCCCATGAGGAATTGAACCTTAGACCTTCGGATTTCGCACTCCGGTGCTCTACCACTGAGCCACAGAGACTCTAAGGTGAACATGATCAATTATGAAGTTCATATAACATGTGTCCTGCATATGGCTAGGATTGGCAATTTCAACATTGGAATCTGAAGGTCTTGGGTTTGATTCCTCATGGGGACCCAGATTTTTTCTTTGTCCCACACTCATGACAAGATGAAAAATATCTTTCTCTATATAAAGCTATTATAGCTATCTCGTGAACCAAGACAGATCAGCACTACATAATCAACTAAAACAGAAGAAATCACAAAAAAGCCTTTTCATGTGATTTATTTTGCAATACATGTAACAAATTCATATAGTGGGGAAGAGCGTACAATACAAGGTAATACAATATCCCAAGAGCACTGTGGCAGCATCAACTGTACATTTGTAGAAGCCTTACAAATGATTGTTTTTAACTTATTGCCTAAAAATTGCTGAGTACAGAAACTATAAATCTACCATATATCAAGTGAATATTACTTACTTTATCTTTTAACTTTAGAATCCCAGTCTGTTTAGTTATTTCTTGAAGCTTTGCCTCAATCTGACTGTTGAAACAAAGACGGTGAATGCATTTATTCAACACACAGCAACATTTCAATTATTTGAGAGTCAGCTCACTCATTTCAATCAATTTAACATGTTCATTTCAATAAGTAATTTATATAATTACATGATTATAAAACACATAGTTATTGGGATTGCCACTGCACTGACTTAGCTTAAACATTGCACAAATCACTCCCAGTTTCATTTCTGCCATCAATTTCCCAATTGATATATTTTGTCATTCAACTGATTACACAAAAACATATCCATGTATATGTATACAGATATTACATAATTATGTTCAGACACAGAAATAATAAATGAAAATCACATTCATTTGAAAATAATTGACCTTACCTGTCGTCCTCTCTACAACAGCTTTCAGCGTTTCCTGGCAACTGACGATGCCGTCCCAATCTTTGCTGAGATGGTACTGATAAATTCACTGCAAAAGAGAAAGAAGCTGCAAGAATTAGCAAATCAACATTCAGTGGATGGTTGAAAAACCCTTTTAACAAACTTAACCATGCAGAAGTTCTGCCAAAACACCAGCAGGGTAGAGATTCGATTAAGTCTGAATATTCACACTAGTAGTTCAAGGTTATAGCCCATTTGTACATAGGATGGATGACCATATCAAAAGGATAAATCTCTCTATTATATAGATACTGATGAGATACCAGGATTTTTCCTTTTACTAAAAAAACATATCTTCACCACGTGCAGTGAAGATACTATTTTTATATTTCATATGTGAGGATATTGGTGTTGCCATGGTTACTAACACGACTAGCCAAATACAAGAGAGCTTCCTGCTCAGGCACGCGGCCGGTTCTTTTGAAATTTCATTTACAAAATTGCTGTTATAGAATTTTTCTCTTCTTCATTAGAATTTTGACTTTTTGGAACAGAAAATATAAGTATTATTGTCTTTATTTCTCCTTTAAAACTTTATATCTGAGTTTTATAACATTTTTGTAACAGGCATTTTGTGATATGTGACCACTTTAATTGCACTATTTTGCTGTTTGGAAAATGAATTTAAAAAAAAGTTGTCTTCTAAGTAGGAATTTCATCAGTATTTATAAAGTAGACAGAACATTACATGGCCACTTGGGGATACAAATTTTATCTTCTCCTGCTAAAAGTATCTCTCAGTTGTTCCCTTTGCTCACTTGTGAGAGATACTTTCAGCACTCAAAGATAAAATTTGTATCCCCGCACTGCCATGTAATATCCTCTAAATCCACCAGATAAGTGTTGACAGAACATACTGCATGGTCCTGGTTGTTTGAAGGGTGGATAACACTATCCACTAGATAAATCCCTATCTGGTGCATAGCACAGTACTATTTGTTTACACCTATCTGCTAGATAGCAATTTAACTCTTAGATAGTGTTATCTGCCCTTTGAACAACTGGGCCCCAATGGAAATTTATCTAGTTCATAACTTTATTCACCCTTTTAACAACTTTGGTCAAAAAGCCAAATAAGCATGTGTAGCCTCACTTTCCTTTCCATGATAAAAATGTTTCTGTTGAATCACCAAATTTAAATCAGACAAAAAAATTCCTCTCTCATGTTCACAAAATTTATATCAGAATTTAACCAAAATCTATCTTGAAAAATAAAATTTTTACCAGTTGATCCTTGTGGAAAGCAACATAATGCAAAAATTTATGTATTTAACTTAAGTTGGACAAATCAATAAGACATAACTTTTCTGTGACTCTGAGTTTCATGCTTATGCGATCATCAGACACATTTTAATGGACCATGATTCATTCAAATCTGTCTGATGATCGCATAAGCATGAAACTCAGAGTCACAGAAAAGTTGTTTCTAATTGATTTGTCCACCTTTTAGATATACCATGCTCTGTGAATGCATCAGGTGCTATACTGCAAGGATAGACTATAACCAAGATTTCTTTATGTATTTAACTTAATATATTTTACATATTTAAGAGAGGCACCACCTGACTCAATTGTATGAGGGGATTATGTGGTATAAGGTAGGAGAGGGGGGAGAGTAATTAAGGGTTTTGATTATACATCACATTCTATTTCTCTCATTTTAACAACTATAAATTACAAACATGTGCAATAAGGATGCCTAATTGTAGTGTACATTTTTAAACACCTGTTTCTTGCTTTCACCAATACTACATTGAAGTTTTCTAGCCTCCTTATTTAGGGTTGCTATCAACAAAATAGGGTGCCTCCCAGAAAAATCCCCCATCTGCCCTGCTTTTAAATAACCCATAGTTAAAACTATTTACTCTAAGTATAGAATTTAAGAAAATAACAACACTTTTTAAAAACATGTTTCGACAGTTCTTCTGTCATCTTCAGTTCTGATTTTACAAAGTACAAAGTTGAATTTAAAGTGTGTAACAAAATGCTGATTGGACAAAACAAACAATAGTAGCAGAACAATGTATACAATTACAATTGTAATTGGCAATTAAGTATAGGTAATGAAAATGATAAAATTTTTCACAGTTTTTGTTCAGGTAGGTGTGTGTGAGACCTTAAATACAAAAATGACATTGTTTGCTTTACTGAATTATCAGCCTCCGCATTACCATGGACCTTGAAACAAACTGGACAGTATTAATCAGCCGATTATAAGCTAACAAAGTATGAGAGGCTTTTTGCTATTTCTATTGGTTCCTGAGAAAATCTATTTTGAAGTTGGATAATATAAAATATTTCAGTTGTTCTCACATGAGGGGACATTATAGGAGAAATATTTTGAATTTTGTAAAAGCCTTGCACAATTTGGTGCAAATACAAATACTCTGGCAATTTTTGATGAAAATCCAACAAATTTACAGACCCAATTAGTACAAGTAGCTTAACACATGAAAATCAAAGTTAAGTTTGAAGTTTCACTAAATAAATATTCATGAAAAGTATGGTGACAAAAGCCAAAAAACTCAGAGTAATTTCAAAGCTTCAGTGATGTAAAAATTTGTTAAAGATATACAACACATAAAACCAATCATTTAAAAATTGAAAAGTTAACTTCAAAATCTTATTCAATTAACAGAAAAGAAAATACGATTAAAATCCCTTCAATTACCTCAACACACAAAATTGAAGACGTATAGCAAATTGCCAACATGTACAGCTAATCACAGATGATGGAGATACAGAGAAAACTAGCGAATAAACCTAACCTAAGCTAATGCTTTGAAAGTTCTTGTGACTGATCCAACCTTAGGATATTAATCAAATTTGAGATATTCAACAACAGAATTCTTTTATTGACACGGTAACACTGTATGAAGCTTCACACAGTGACAATCCAAGTCGTTATCGAACGTTATGTGTATTATCACATTCACCAAAATACACAAGCTTATTTACGAACCAAAATAAAGATAAATCTCGCCCTAAAAATAAAACAAGTATTTTCTGATTTTCAACAAAACAGTGAAAGAAACCGAATTTAACGGAGAAGCAAAATACAAAAAAAATCTGTTGAGAGATTCATGGTACCGCGATTTACCTCTAACAGAGAAAAACCTGTATATACCAGGTTGCCAACTACACATTACATGGTGCCACATACACACATATCTTTTCACCTGGTCTGTCTTGACGGGTACTCGTCGTTAGATCTAGAGGAAGAAGAGGCTTTTTCGGGCAGGTGGACTTATCATTTCCTTTTCCTAACAGTTCGCATTCTCTTGATTTGTTCTCCTCTCGTAATTTTACTCCCAGACTCTCAATTTTCGCCTGTAATGCCGTCGCCATCCTCCATATTTACTGTTTGTTCCTCTCGCAAAAATTCAAGTCATGCGCATTAAAATTTGAAAAAACATTCAATACCAGGCCTCTAGGTGAGGAGGGCAAAAAAAGAAAAGGGTACTCGGCATGAGTGCGACGACATTAAAATTTCCTCTGTGAAAATTGCACTCTTGACGCCATTTATCTTCTTTGAATGTCTTTTGTTTAAAATAAAATCAACAAAGTTTCATTGAAAAGGTTGTATTTTGGCGATGGAAAGACAGATAAACCATTCATAAGGAAATAAGCCTGTGCTTCTCTTAGAGCTGTTCCTTCTCGAAATGATCTTAGACCACACCAGAAGAGCACATAGCTTTGCTAACTGCTAAACACTACAACAGAAAGGGGCTTGGTTTGGGACCAGACAGTTTAATGGATGTTTATGCCCTACATATCCGAAAACACTAGTCTATTATATCAAAGGTATTCGACGCATACACTTATACAACGGTCCAGTGATCTGGAATAAGTTACTAACACTAGTAACATACAGAAACACTCAAAACTGCCTATGGGGTCTATGATATGGGTTGGAGGAAAGCTAAAACTTAATTAGAAGCCAGAAATAAACTTTTTGCTTACTTTCTCGAATGCTAATAAAACTTGCACATATACCTTGGCGAAATATAGTACTGAAGCACTAAAATTAATTTTATAATTATGACACGTTAGCTCGATTGGCTCGATGCAGATCCTATGACTTGCATACTGAACAAATTGCTCAATCTACGAAAAGACTAATATGTAAACTACCTGTAACCAGTTTAGACTACTTAGTTATCGATGGCTAGACTCATCACATAGATTAATATTTGCGGAAAGTTTCCATCTGGTTTGTACACCGGTTAGGTGACATTGATCAAATAGAAATTTAGTCAAATGGATTTCATTGATCAAACAGCCCATTGAAAAAATAGTTGTAAGTGAAGATAAAGCGGTGAAATCCATGTTTGACCTCAAAAACTGGTGCTCCCCCAAGGTAAAACAGAAAATTAGAAAAACACTGTGGAAAACAGGACAGAGACAAAATCTTATGCTTGGGGATATTCAGGTAATGGTTCAGCAGCTGAGGATTGCCAATAGCCTAGGTGGAGAATGTCAGACGAGTGATCATTTTCAGTTTTAAGTGCCTTTTAGACCTAGGTGGCCTGAAACCTCTTTTATCTGCAGTGGTGCTATTAATTAGTGGCCTAATTATTAATGTGGACACAACTGGATATATGATGATCCAAGAGAGGATAAATAACTTTGGGCCTTTAGATGATCAGGTGGTGAAATGGCAAAAGACATGCTCATTGATAAGAGAACAAATTATCAGTCATTTTAAAAACAGGTATCAACCTGAGATGATTTTCTTGTTAGGTGAGACTTTGTATTGCTTTTATTTTTGCTTCTTTAACTTTCCTCTTGTGCCTCTTTGAATTTTGCAAATTGCTACTGATTTCTCAGAGTGAGTTTATCTAGCTATGATCTGGTAACCTCACTTTTGAGGTGTGGTTTAAAAAAAAAACAAAACAACAAAAACAGTCTTTTCAAACTGCAGTTGAAAGGGCCTTGCACTTTGATTTCTTTTTTCAGGACAAGGCATCCTTAGGTTAAACACATTCATGCATCATGATTTAGATAGCCATGGGGAAGCTGTATGTTGAACATTTTGATACAAACCTTTGCTCAGCCTTGAAATTGAGCCACTTATTTGAAATGAGCATTATGACAGGAGCTGATTACCTGTAATTCCAGGCATGACTTGATTGACATGGGGCATACCCCTTTGGGAGGCTAATAAGCTGGATCCTATGTGTAACTGTGTGCATGATTTTGGCTGTATGAAATAAACTAGTTGTTTTGAAACTGAAATCTGTCTTCTCTGGATTTACCATGCAAACAAAACATTAAGATGGTCAGCACTTGAAAAAGCATTATTTTGGTTGAAGATTTTTGTGGAGTGTGTGGATGTGGCAAAGGTTCACTCCACTTAATCAAGGTAAGTTGATTGACATTTTATTACAAAGTGCAATTCCTAAATTGCTAAAAACAATTGTTTCCTTCTCAGTCATAATCCACCCATATTGTCTGTCTCCTGACTTAATTTTTGTTATCTCATAATTGCACAATTAGAATGCACCTTCATCATTTCAATGCTCCGTCTTATTCAATTAGCAAGGATAATGGTCAAATAAACTGTACCACAGTTGTCTCTTGAGATAACTCACATCAAGGTGGTTGGAGGTTCATATTTTCTTGCATTCTTGACTGTTAAATCTTCTGTAACTCTTTTTTTTGCTTATATTCTTTAGGATAATTTCATGGAACAAACTGGTGCAATTTTTTCTCGAGCACAGCTCACCTGGGTTTTTTAGGAACAAATGCCCATTAAACGATAGCCGGATCGAAATGCACCAATCACAACAGACCACCAAGATACATAATGCTGTGCCACAACCAGTCGACCCCATCACCTGAAGAAGACTTGCAATAAGCAGTCAAAACATTGCATTCTACATCATGTGACCTTGTCGTAAGACGACAGAACAAACTTATATCATCCAACTACCACGATGAACAATAACCTATTTCATAACAAACTCCCATTATTCACTGTCAGTATGGCTTCTTTTGGTTGAATTTTGGTTGAATTTCAAATCCCAACCAAGTGATGGCATTTGAGAATGACAGAAAATGACTTATCTTGGAGTCTAAAGAATTTAAAAAAATGCCTATTGTGTGGCCAGGGTTCATTGCTGTGTGAAAGAGATTGATTTTGTTGATATGTTATTTAGCATTGGCTTCAGAACCAGTTGTCTTTTATTCCCTCATCACCCTGGTCTTATGTCAAATTTTCTATTTCCCACTTTCAAATAAGACACAAAACTGTCCATGTCCATGAGTCTTTTAATAGACTTATTTCCTCCTAACTACACACAATTAATCAATCAATCAATCAATCAAAGTTTATTGTCTAACGTGAGGCATGGTTGCCCAATTGCCCGAGCCAGAGGCTCATGTATAAAACGGTAGACTAAAACAATTGACACACAAACTATTTTTACGAATGACTAAATCAGCATCTAAGAATATTCAAAGTCCGAGGGTAAATGTTTACAAAACTTGTGCACATCACCCTGATAAAGAGCTTAGAAATGATTATATGAACAAAACAAATTCTCCATGTTTTCTACCACATGGATATTCTTTGAAAAACTTCCCTGATGAAGCAGCTCTCTGCTCAAAACATTCTCTACATGCTCCTGTCTGTGAGCCCTAAGTATAGACTTTTCAGAAATTGACTAAACTGTGAAATTTATTGATTTCAAGCAAACTTATCCAGGGATTTGTAGACAAGGTTACCATAGATTAGAACCTGGTTTATATGATAAAACAGGTTAAGATATTAAAAACAAAATGAAACACTTAACTCATAACACATAGTGACTGTATTCCTAGCTATCTGAATTCTTAAAATGACACCTTGAGTGTATGTCATGAACTAAGATCAGTAAATTTACAAACAGTGAACCATAAATTGCAGCCATGTTAATGGATAATTAATAATACTGATGAACCTAAAAGGAACAGGAAAAACTGTAACAGTACTAACAAGTACAAATTCAAAATTCACAAAGTGAAACACCTAATAAGCCATGTAAATCTAAAAGTAAGCATATTTGCCTGTTGTGGTAATTGTTATTTTTATGTTGTATTCATTTGTTGATGTTGAGATGGGCTTATTATTAACTTTTACTTTTGATAAAGAATATTTGTACTGACAAGCGATGAGAGCATTCTTTAAGATCGAATTACTGAGCTAATGGTTTAAAATGGATCAATGGTATGAAAAATATGAAAATACAAAAGTTTGTCGTAAAAAGATAGCACTTGAAGCGCAAGAAAAAGGTTATTGGGCATGTTATGTTGTTGTTACAAATTTTCCTGTGATTAAAGCACACCAACTGTGAATTTTAACAGCGAAATAACATTCTCATCATAAATGAACTATTTAACCTTTCACATTTTTAGCTTATTTGATATCTAATTTTACTGAGTGCTTCTAAAATGGTGCGATGCTACAAATTCACTCTTTAAGTGCCTCATATAATTCACGCCAGTTGTCCCCCGTTGTAACATCCTGCTGATGTTGTGAAGTAAAGTAACTCAACAAACTTGAACGTAGGTCGTCAGTATCATTGCCACTCTACTGAAAAGTAAAAGAAGTTAAAAAATAATATTCAGTTTATTTCTTCATATCACCTCATGCAGTCTTTCAGTGTAAGGTGATTCAAAAGTTGAGCTTGCAACAATTCAGAGCTTCTTTCTACTATAGAGAAGTAATGAGCGTAAATACTTATTTGCATGAACATCTAGATAATGGGAAAGGAAAATATTGAATAAAGTGAAATCTACGTTCTCTTCGAAATTTAAACACCAAGAAAAAGGACAGGAAATATAACTTTAAATAGAAATCTTGTCATTGCCCTACAGTTAACACAGACGGTTTAAATGACTCTTTTGTAAATCGTCTAATTCTTGAATACAAGGTAGCGTTGTTAGTTTAGAAATTTTGACATGTCTTTACTATTTTAAACTATTTACCACTTTTTGACGTGTTCCTACGTGTCTTTTTTTTCTTGTGAAGAAATAGGGATGCTACAGTTACTAATACTTATGCAGCCTTAGTTTAATTTATTCAGAATCATGTGAAAAAAGATTAATTCGATCTTAGGTCGTTCAAATTAATTGAAAGAGTCCCGTAAAAACTAAATTGAAGCAAGAGATTATAATTTGATCGAAGTAATCAATTGATTTCATGAAATGTAGGTTAGGAAAACTGTTTCATTTCATGCAGATGTTATAGTTCATTTTGTTCTGGAAACTACTCCAGGAGAAGACGTCAAAAATTACCACATCTTACCACAGCTGTAGGTTTGCTTGACGGGTCAGTTTTATTGTTCTCATTCCTTCTGTCAAGTTCTTCTAAAGAAGAATCAATCGCTGTTTCCTCTAAAATCAGTGCTGCCGTATCCCCCTTTTTCGATGCAGATGTTTTTTTGACGTTCACACCGGTTTTTACTGAAGAACTCTCTTGGCTCATGACTGTTTTGGTCGTTGAACTTGAAGGGCCCTCGTCTTTGTCATATCCTCGTTGAAAGTAACTTCTTTCTTCTTTAACCGACGAGAAGGACGAAAATTGGGTGTTTGACACTGTGGTGGATGTCTCCTTACTAACAAAACTGCTGCTGATCTCGGTTTCTTCCGTTCTATGTGTACTTGTTGAAGCTGGCGTGTTTTGTGCGAAGAATAATCGAAAGTGTTTGAGTTCTTCATCAAGTTCCTGCTGATTTAATAAGTACACTGGCCGATTTGGGTCCAGGACCTCGGTGCTTCCTGTCGGACTTTCGTAAGTCCTAAGGACTCTTTTTGAGGCGTCTGATTTTTTCGCCATGCGGATTACTTGCTCCCGTGTCAATCCTCGAATTCCTCGTGCTTCCCTTTCTTCTGGAGTTAAATCGTCATCGTCACTATCTGATTCAGGATGCCTGAGAGGTTTTTGCTTCTTACTTAAATCGACCTATTGAAAACACAACGCTTGGATCTCATAAAGTACACCATATCATATTTCACTTTAAAGGAGAACACGATAAGTAAAATACTTATTAAAGTTAGCGTGATAACTGTACATATTATCTGGTGACAAATATATGTAGACGTTGAAAATATTTCTCGTGACACTTTACCTTAGCATAAATAGGCTCTGTTTCTACCTGCTCTTTGGGCTGGACTGGCCGAACGTCAACCCTAATAGGCCGCCTAACGCTCTCATACAAAGGATCAAAGCTATCCTCGGAAGACTCTAACAACGGTCTTTCCTTCAATACAGGCCCGACTTCCGGTCTCAAGAGAGGTTCTTCGTGCTCTTGTTTCTTTTCTTCATTTTCATGGTCTGGTTCTTCTCCTGCGTCAACAACTAAACATTCCGTATCTGGCTGTCGATGCTAAACGAACAAGCAAGCGGAGCTTTATTAGATGTTGACAATCAAGACATACAAGAAGGTTCAAGTGTAGCTAAAGATATTTCGCAGAGTGCGGTGTACTTTTGCAATTGATAAAGAGTAATAAATGGTTCAGCTGTTGGCAACAGCAATAAAAGTGGTCTGCTTGTTAATCTTATGTTAAGCCTTGGCCAATAAGCTTTCAAAACTCAATTAGCAGTGTGTGACACAAAAAACAGCATTGATTAACACTTTTTAATCAGTTTCACTTACCTCGCGCTGCTCTTGTTGCTTTTGGATCCAAACGTCATCTCCTTGAACCCAGTAGCTCCCTTGTCGACCTCGTTTGCAGTAACAACAGCACTGCCTAAAGGCATCGCGGACCTGAACACAAAATAGGAATCTAAACATTTTCTCTACGATATTGAATTTGTAGCAACTGAGCTACACAAACTCTGTCTTTTGGCTTTTGTGTATTTCTTTAAGTATCCTGATTTTTGTAGTTTTCGACTTAAAACAATATATTCCAGTTCGATTCTTTGGTTAGACACAATCCCATTATTGCCAAGCCACGTTAATAAGAGTCGGTTCATTTTAAAAGGAGGGCCTCAGTCAAAAAACCTGCACAAATAAGAAAATGTAAAACAGTCGTTTCCTTTTCATACCTGACGGTCCATGACCACATAAAATAACAGTATCATCAAACCCTGGAATGCAAAAAACATTCCTTGAGAATAATTATCAATATATAAATTTTGAGTATCAGCCCGTTGATGAGTTCAAGATCAAAGAAAACTCTGGTTTTATGCAATAGGCTGAAATAATTCTTTAATCAACCAGTGAGCGATGTCACTCATATAAAGACTTGTTAATTTTCAAGGATAATTTATGTCGCCACCCCACCCAGCGGCTCAAAAGTCACGCTTTCACGTTGTTTTAACCACATTTTCATGACATGTGCCGTGCAGTTTGGATAAAAGAATATCAAAATTTTCTTGGTTTGGATACCACTGAAAAGACGCTCGAAATCTGAGATCAACCAAATTGAACTGAACGAAACAATGTTTCCAAGAATGAAGAGAGTGGCCAGTTTGTAGAGGATCACAATGTCTTCATCAAATCCCTTTTAATCGGCCTGAATTCTTTCACAAAGATGTTTATTTGGTAGTAGTAAATTTGAAAAAAAAGAAAATTTAAAAGAAAACCATACCGTAATGATACAGCAAATGATAAACAGAATACACAGCAACGCCTTCCAGTAAAACTGGATCAGAAGAATGCCGACCAACCAGGTCATTAGAAACATAATCATCAGGATGATACAATAACGTACATGGACTCTGAATAAGTGAAAAAAAAACACGTACTCTAAAAACAAATGCCGGAACAGCAAGAAACGCAAACTCGAAAAAATTTGGATCAAGATATTCTGTGGAAGCCACGAACACGGATTCAACTGGGACCCTGGGTTACGAGTTGGGGTCGAAATAGTAGGAGAAACTCATAGTGACTATAATTTAATAATAATAATAATAAGAATAATAATAATAATAATAATAATAATAATAATAATAATAAAAATTATGATTAAGTAGTGGATAATCCACGAGGTGACTCTTCCTGTTCTCTGTTTCGTGGTCAAATTGGATTTTGGAACGTTGGTTTTTGCGGAGGGGGGAAACCGCAGGACCCAGAGATAAACCTTCGGAGCAACGACAAGAACCAACAACAAAGTCAACCCGTATGTGACGACAGGCACGGGAATCGAACTCGGAATGGAGGGAAGCGAGGGCCCTCACCACTGCGCAGGAAAAAGAAGATCAGACTCAATAAACCGGTAATGACTAATGGAGTGTCATGTTACTCAATTTTTTAAATACAATATGCTTAATTAATGATATCACAATCTTAATGTTATATTTACCTGAATCGTGTTTTTGGATAATCTGCTTTTAGCCTCTGTCTCGGTGATCCAGTCACAGCTCTCCACACTCTTACCAAAATGCAACAGCTCACCTGAAGATACGATAGACATCTTTGAGTGTCAAAGCGTTTTTTCTCCATCACCTCAAAATTGCTCAACCTCAATCGGTTCACAAGTCTGATGATACTTTTGCGCAAACAGTAAATTCACTGCATACGTAGCAACCTTAATTCCATAAAAATATGATTTGATCGGCCCCAATAAGGTACATAACCAACCAAAATTTTAAATTGTGTCTGGTATGATAAATTCAGTCACAACCCTAAATAAAAAAGACACGATAAATATATCTTACCAGGAAGAACACTAAAGCTGGTGCAAAGAATACCCACACCAAAGGGTTGGGGTTGGGATATATTGACAACCAGCACCTGAAGAAACAGTAGTTGAATATTAATTGGCGCAAGTTCTTAATACAATAAATCATGAGTTCCACGGGTTATTACAACTGTTCATAAGAAATGTTATTTTTACTGTGAATTATAAGCAATTTACATAAACCTCAATGATTATTTTCAAAACTGTAGACATCAGCCTATATAAGCCTCTGTACAAACTGTGCGTAGACATTCCTCTTACTATTAAAGCATGAGATAATATTTGCTTATTCTATTTCCAAACACAACTAGATAATTTCATTTCGAATTCTTTATTTTCTCTCTCTTTGTAGCGCTGCCCCTTCTCCCCTGACACATGCTTCTTTCATACGTTTTGGTTCAGTACTCTGCCTCTGTGCAGTTAGTGCTGATTACTACTGGTGCATAAACATACTCTATACTTATTTCATCATCTATTTACATATTTATTTATTCATCTTTTTGTTTATCAAATTATTTATCTTTTATGTACGTATCTATTAAAAAAAAACCCATATTACTAATTTTTTTGTATGGCATATAATGTAGTACTAAAAATATTGTTAAAAAAAAGTTAGTAAAATGACGATCGTAGTGCCAGTATTCCATGTAATTATTAGTGTTAGTATTGTTAGCAGAGTAAGCATTATTAGTCGAGCAAGTTTCTGTAACGCGAGTTTTGTAAATAATGTCTGCATTGTAGTTAATTGTAAGTATTGTAAGTAATTGTAAGTAGAGTAAGCATTGTTAGTGCATTGTTAGAGTAAGTATTGTAAATTATGAGTTTTTCTAGTATTGTAGTATGTAGAGTAAGTATTGTGAATAGTGTAAGTTTCTGTAACTTGTACTGCGAGTGTTGTAAGTAATATTAGTACTGTTCAATTAGCAAAAAAATTTAAAAGAAAAGGATTTGCTTAAACGTTCTACAGTCTGAATTACCTTAACTTAATTGGATTAATACTGTCGCCGAGTGGAGCAATACGTACATTTGTAAACAAAGAGTACCACGTTTGCACCTACACCAACTGCAGAATCAATTTTTTTGAGAAGCAACGAAGGACTTTTAGTGACTCTTCAGTGTAGTATAAGCATTTCTTACTGACTCTAAAGAACTCGTGACAGTTTACTCTTTTAGATGAATTAAATGCATGGAGTGAGAAAAGATTCATTGAAAGAGCATTAAATACTGTTTCACATGAGATAACGAAAACGTCCTTATGATACAAGCGTAAAATGCTATACTCACGAAAGGAAGCTATCAAAACCGGCCATCTTGTTTATAAACCACGTGATAAGCATCGGAATACCAGGCAGACCTTAATTGAACACATAAGAAAAAGAATAGTGTTTAACGCTAAAGAAACAATTTGATAAAATATCTGCAAATTACAAACTTGCTATATACTCACCCCAGCCGAGAAGGAAGTATCCAATCCAGTATTTCTTCTTTGGTCCGTAGTTAGTATCCCAAGTTCTCATGTAAACACTTTCAGCAAGAATCCAAGAAAATGTGCACAGGTAAAAATAATGAACCAAGAAGGAGAAGAGGTTACACAGCCCCTAAAAATAGCGAAATCATGCAAACATTTTTTAAGAAACTAGCTGGTAAACTCTTTAAGCAATTTTAGTATAATTGCTCAGGTGATCAAACAGACGCGCTCTCTGATTCGTCGAGGATTGCTTCATGTTTCGCCATAATCACCTCGCGCGAAGTAATTGTAGCAGGAGTACTAAATGTCAAAATGGCTGCCTCGCGTTTTGTCAACGTTTCAGGGGAAGTGATAAATGTCTGGAGAGAAGCAGATATGTAACGAATTTAAGAAAACGAACGAAACTTTTTAAAAACATGTTTTGACAGTTCTTCTGTCATCTTCAGTTCTGAATAACACAAAGTGCAAAGTTGAATTTAAAGTGTGTAACAAAATGCTGATTGGACAAAACAAACAATAGTAACATGATGATGACTAAGTGAAGGTTTCTCCCATTGAATGTGGCTAGCTTCTTTGATCACGCTTCCACAACGTAAAATCAAAGAAGCTATCTACATTCAATGGAAGAAACCTTCACTTAGTCAATTGTATTAAAACTTCCTTGTAAATGCATACATTGTTCTATTACTGTTGTTTGTTTTGTCCAATCAGCATTTTGTTACACGCTCTAAATTCAACTTTGTATTTTGTATCATTCAGAACTGAAGATGACAGAAGAACTGTCCAAATATGTTTTTAAAAATTGTCGTTCATTTTCTTGAAGTAATAAATGCGATAAAGAAAAAATTCAATTGTGATGAGCAGAAAAGCTGCTAAAAGATTGACAGAACACTTTTTAAAAGAAAGATATAAAACTATTCTTGATTAAATTCAATAAACCTGCTAAAACTGCTAGCTCATCTTGATATAGGTAATCAGCGCAATTGTAATAAAATATGCGCAATGCTTACTTTGTTTAAAGAATTTACAACAGAATTTGAAAGCACCTGAGCAATGATACTAAAACAACTATTTGCCTCAGGCTCAACAATAGTTAATTCGCCCTTGGCGAAGAACTTTTAAAAGTATGTATTTTAAATTGAAGATATCTTCAGTGGTATTAATCAGCCGGCTTATGATAAGGAAAATTTAGTCTCCCCAGAGAATAACAAATCTTGTCATTATTCCTCAATACGCAACTGCCGTCTGACATAGCGAGAATGCCAGTAAATCCAGTACAGCCCTGGGGAACTAGAGATCCAGAATTACCTATTTCATCACTGCGTCTCTCCAGTCGAAGGGTGAACAACACACTGGGTTCACCTTCACCGCTGGGAGACAATTGGTGGACATAACAAAAATCCTAGCCCGGGTATCACTGTGTTATGCTCTCCATACCATACGGACAATCAGACTGCTCTATCACATAGTAAGAGCTATGTATGGAACTTTACGCCCGTAACATCTTTAACTGAGTAACACGTTGATCTTACCACATTATTATAGGATGCCAGGCCAAGCATGAGTAACACGAAGGTTACAATCACAGATGCACAGACACACATATGCATTGCCCATGTACGGTCAGGCTTCAGCCAGCTGAAACAGAAATCACCACGAACTTCATCACTGAAAAATTTAATTTGATTTGGCAAGTGATTGCAAATTATGATTAACATATAGTTTACTCACGGGCTTAAAACCAGGAGGATCAAAAACGTTATCGCCGCAAACGCGATTATAATCCAACAAGCGATGTAAATACAATGGATAAAATCACCAATTGGGTTAGGAAATCCCTGCGAAAAGAAGAAGAAATAATTTTGTAAAATATGTGATGAATACGTTCAAAAGAGTTTTTCGGCGGATGCTCCCCCTCGGATAAAGTAAGTATTATAGGCGCTGAGAATTAACTCGGTGCCAACATCATTTGTGCAACTTAAACATGGAATAGAAAATTGCTAGCTGTTGTCTTTTTAATAAAGATTGATGCCACCAAAAACACCTCAATCAAACGAAAAATTGCAGGCTGTAAGGTTAGGGTCGAATACATAAGCAAACTCAAGTCAAATGAAACATTCGTGTCTGGGAGGTTTCATTGTGGTCCGCTTGCACCATACATGTTACCGTGATATTGACGTAGCACTTACCCTTTGGAAGGAGGCAGCCAGCGGTTTTTTCTGTAACACTGCGAAATTGGTCATGTGATCACACTGGCAAGTTGTTTGCATACGATTGTATGAAGAAGTATTACAACCCTCATCAGACCAACCTCCGTGGGGCGCATTCCTGTGCAAGCGCAAACAAAAGGAGTAAACTATAACTTGAACAGCCTAGATTTAAGTTGACTCACCCGGATAAGGTCAGCCGATAGGATGGTACAGCCTCTACTAGGAGGCATTCTTGTAAACGTTAAATGGGTGTTTATTTTGATTTATCAACTATCTTTTCATTCAGAGAAATTGAAAAGAAACTTCTTAGTTCCTCTCCACAGAGAACAATAGTCACGTTGCACTACATTTGTCAGACGCGGCGATAATCAGCAAATCTACCATTCATCTTATTATACTTACATCTTAAAATCCCAAAATGCACAAATCGGTTCGGCACCGTCAAGCTGAAAGTGAAAAAATAAAGGAATTAAATTCCAAGTGAGTAAACTCAGTTCTCATTGTTCTTACACTTAAAATATAGGAATCAAAGCAAATGGATTTTGCCATATGCATGAAAAACTTACATCAACTTCTTCCAGGTTAGTGGAGGCGATAATGACGGGCTCAGTGAGTTTTTCCGTCGGTTTTGGGTCAGTAGCGGCAGAAATCACAACCGAGTTGATTTCAAACGCTTGGCCTTTGTCACTGAACGCACTAACAAAATAAACGTAAAATGTAAAACAATCGACATGACATGACATGAGGTCCCTGATTCAAAAGCAAAATATTCGGACAACATACATGCAACTCACATAACGTTTGGATTAGTTTCACATACAAAATGTATATTATTATCTGTAATGGTGCTTTGTCACCCACCTTTCAAAAGAAAGAACTCGTCTCAGAGTTTTGAATAGAAATCCAGCAATTCGTATTCCATCATCTCCTTCAGAGAGACAAGATAAACAAGGAGATTTAAGTTAAAAGTGACTCATAAACAAGCTCGAGTTCCCTCTATTATCATAACCAAGGGCACAATGCTGTAAAGACAGTTGATTTCCGTCCGAATCGAAAGTATCTATAAAGGTGTTACGTAAGAAGCCAAGTCGACTGCGCTTTTTTGTCAAACAATAACCATACCAATGGACGAAAAAGTCACCTATATTGACAAATCGGAAAATTTGCATTATTTGAAAATAAGTTCGTGCAAAGTTATCATAAACAACACCAAGTCGCTTCCAGGATCGAAAAATCACTAAAGTGACCTTTAAAACTACATCAAGCGACCACAATCCTAAGAGTACAATTCATTTCAATCATGATCAAAAAAGCTAATTTCATAACTTACTGCAGTTCCGAAGAAGGTTGAAAAAAAGTACAAAGGAAATTACAGAGTAGTCTCCTTGTATTCTTATTTTCTGTTTAGTTTTGTTTTTTCATTTATTCGTTACATCTCAAAAAAGGGCTGCGAAAGACACTCATAGCAAAGTTTTTAATGCTAACTTACCGACTTTAATACTTTTAATCATTTGCTGACTTAATACTACAAACGTTGTTATGTTCCATTGTTGTTTGATCTTTCCTAAATCTGGCCAGTTGTAGTTTGGAAAAATAACGTCTTTTGAGATTCGTTCAGGATCGGCAATTCCAGCACCCATAACTGTCAGTGTAAAAATCAGAGTAAAGTGTGCGCATGTCCTATACAGGTGTTTTAGCTACTACACAAAAGTAAAGAATAAAGATAAATGGTGAAATGAAACAAGCCAAATGGAAGATCTGCAAAGGAGTCCTTGACCCCATATAGAACCAGAGTAAGTAAAATTATAACAATAACACCCCCCTCGTTCCCACATTTAAATAAGACTATAACAATAGATAATTTCTGGCTTTCGACCTAAATGTCCTTTTCTTTTAGTTTCAAAACGAGTGTCTGTTGGTAGTTCATTCCATCTATCTACATTTCTAAGACAATATTAATATTTTAGCACGTTGGTTCTAGCATATTCCTTTTTCAGAGTTAAGTTATCGGAGTAAAGGTCGCCTTCTGAATGGAAGTCAACATAAGGTTGAATATCAACATTGATCATGTCATTCAGCGCTTTGTAAAGGAAAATAACATCAGCTTAAACTATTCTTTGTCAAGTAACAATAAGTTCAGTTTCTTCAATCGGGTTTCATACTCATGCTTCGTCTTTATGATGAATTTGGTGGCTCTTTTCTGTACTTTTTCACCTTTTTTTTAATGTTTTTCTTGGTATAGCGAGACAAACCACGGAGCAGCATTCTAGATTAGACCGGACCAGAGAGCAGTAGAGAGTTTTCAAGGTTTTACATCATAAAGACCTTTACGAGTTCTTTTGATCAAACCAAGCATTCTGTTTGCTTTTTCCACAACATTATCAATATGAAAATCTCACTTTAAATACTAATCTGTGGTTAAACCAACATCCTTAAATTCCTTTACTTCCTCCAAAACAGTCCTGTTCAAATAGATACTTGATACACAGGGCTGTTTCTATTTGTGATCTTCATAATTTTGCATTTCTTAACGTTTTTAACGTACTTAACAGGTCCTTAAGTTTGACTGGTTCTACATCTGAGTTCTTAGAGCATTCTTGTTTATATAGTCAGTGTCCTCGGGATAGCTTACCAACATGCTCAGTTATCAATATTGCAAGATTTCTAACTTCACCAACTGAAGCCACCTTTGCAGCCTGAAGGCCATATTTCTCAAGAACTCTGATGAATTTTGATGCGGTCTGCAAATACTGCAAATAAAATGAACCAGCTTCATCATCACTAAAAAGAAAATTGTGCTTTTCTTCTCACTGGTTTATTATTATTATTGTATGATGGTTACAGGCGAATAATTTGACAAAAAAAAAATACCTTTTGAGCCATTATTAATTCCTGCTCGTTATGCCAGTGAAGAATATGGTTTGCCACGTCAATGACATGCTGCCAAAAAATAGAAAATAAAAAAAGAGATAAAACGATTATTCATATAATGTCATAAACGTTCGTTTCCTTGCAACGCAAAAGAATCCGAAGATCCACCTGCGAAGATAAAGGAGGAAAGATCTAGGAATAAACCCAACCAATGCACGAACTGACTTAATCCAGAAGTGACTCAAGAGTTACTTTGAGACTGAGACATGAAAGTCATGCAGAGTATATCTTTAGAAATACCGGCGATTTTCCTAAGCAACGGGAAGAGACAACACTGAGGTCCAAGGTCAGCGGTATGTATAGCAGGAATCTGAGCATCAGTTGGAGAACAATCAGCGAGCAGTGTACCCGACAGACAGCTAGACATCAACACGATAGTTAACAAGTATATAAGAAAGCAATTAAGTATACAATCTTCCTGGTTACCTTAATTTCATCTTTACTGTGAGCAACATCTTTGTTTTCTTTTGCAAGATAGTTTACAATTATTTCTAACATTTCCGCGCTTGTATCAGCGTCTCCCGCCAGCACTGCGAAATCTTCGTGTGGTTTTAAGAGCGTAAAAAGTTGTTGCAAGCTTTTTAGGATACTCTTCTCTGTGTCGTCTCTGTTAGAAGTATTAGCCGAGACCTCTTTAATCTGTGAGAAGAACAATTACCCGTAAGAGTTCGTGCTGATTACAAGACGAAATTGAACAAAAGAACGTTTCCGTATGATTCGAGTATTCAAGAGTAAAGCCAAATTGAACCATTACACTCGTTACAACAAGTCACACCTGTGTTGACGGAAACTACCAATATCTATTGTAACAAAGCAAGCAAATTCCGGTCCCCAAATTCAAAAGCGCGAGCGCGCTTCAAACAGCCGAACTTGTATCTAGCAGTCACCCACGGGAAATGGTGGCGTAACTGCCTAATACAGGTCGACCATGAGCCAAGGGGGGGGCCGGTTTTTTTTTCGCTTGCCCTGCCGGCTTTTCTTCCCGCTGCAATTCCTTTTTTTTTTTTTCCCCGAAAAAGGGGGGCCCTGGCCCCCCGGACGCCTCCCCTAGATCCACCACTGGATCGCTCTAAAGGTCCATAGATAGTCCATAGTATCACAAGGAAACAATGAACAACACTACTTTATGCCATAATTGAACTCTTAGTGTACAGATTCTCGTTGGAAAATACTTCTTACGGATTAAGAAATGGAGGATTATTCTTAGTTTCATTAGAGTGGTTTGGTATTATCAACTAAGTTGATAACACCAAATTACCCTGTTATGCTCTAGCAACCACGCAGCACCGCAGTTTCTTTAGAAACTAACCTCCTTTTTTTCATTAGAGTAGTCCCGCTTTACAATACAGGTAGAGGAAAATGAAAAATGGCCGTTGGGGCTTAGTTAAGGGTGTCCGCGACCGCTTAATATAGGTGACCGCTCAATAGAGGTGAAAATTACTGTGATTAAGGGGAAAACGAATTCGGGACTTTGACAAGTGACCACTTAATACAGGGTGACCGCTAAATATAGAGCTGCTGAATACAGGTTTGACCGAAATACTATTGTGTACGCCAATGACGTCAGCAAACATGAGAATTGAAAATTTTCGTCCGCTATCGACTGTAACTTCCCGACCAGTTAGGCCACGCGTTTTGAGATTTTTAATGTGTTTTTTTCCGTTCCATCCCGCTTGAGATGGACTTTTAAGAGCTCTATATATAAATTAAATCTACGGAATAATAAATGAAAAAATGGGTAGGGATCTAAAGAAACTGTGGAGCCGCGTGGGTGGGAGAATAAAACAAGATAGTTTAGGATTATCAACTGGCTTAACAACGTAAATTTGCTACCGAATAGAGTTTTAAAACTGAAGGTTTGAGCGTTAGACCTTCGTCGGAGAGAATGGAGGAATTGTTGTTTGTGTGTGTGTTTATATGCAGAAAATGAAACTGCGCTATTAGTGGGAACATGGTGACGAAAACAAGAGTAAATTAGTTGAATGAAAAGCGTTCTTTGATACCGTTGGAATTACGAGTGCCGATTTGAAAGATACATTTTAATTCTAAAGTTCTCGGCTTTCCTAACAGCCTTGATGTAGGGAAAGACCGCAAACTGCCATGTGCTGCTTAGAATAACTAGGGAGATTTAAGTGTCTTGCGACTGGTTTGAATCCGTCGTCATTTCTTTCTACGTCGCGAAGGCGTTCTCGGAATAGGTCACCATGTCGTCTTCCTGTTTCCCAATGTATATTTTTTTGCAGTAGGTAACGAAAGGATACTCGATTTTAAAAGGGATTTGGGAAGCCTTAAAAGCAGCTGAAAGAGCTATCGAGTGAGCAATAGTACGATTCCCAAACACGATCCGAATAATGGATGGGAAATGGAAACTGAATTTGCATGCAATAGTGAAACTTAGCCTATTTCGGACCAATCTTTCGCCCGGTAAATGTTGATATGTCCTTGAAGTATTGTGCAATAGAAGATTTTGTTTAAAATGTGACAACTTTCAGAATTTTTAACCCAACTCTTCGCAATTTTCTTGCTGTGAAGTTGAGTAAACAACGAATCAAGTATTGTAAATCTTAAACGCTACTCACATATACGCAAGAAAATCTGAGATTTTTGCTTCGAAAAAACCATATTTGGTAAATCTGAATAAAGCTTTTTTCTCGTAATATTTCTAGGTCATATTTTTGCCATGCTCATTTAGTACGCGTGCCCTCCAAACTGTACGCGTACTTTATATCCCCATGAACGTAGGTTAGCCTTAACCGTAACCTTAGCCCCAAAGCCCTTAAACTCTTGGCTGCTGTTGTGCTAATAAGCTCGAGGCCGAGAATTGAGGTGATTTTCTGGGATTTAAATGCTATGACACTTTTTTTGATAAACTTTATGATTCAGCAGTTGTTGTTGTTGTTTTTAGGGCGCACTTAGATGTTGAACAGATGGTTCCATCTTTAACGGACTGGACGTCTTGGTATGGTACACTGTCTCGTTACTAAGGGCATCATAGAAGTCAAATAACGCTTATATTCGCCTATAAGCTTCCAAAATAGTTCAGTAGCATAAATGCATTTCATATAGCTATAAAAATAAATAAAAAGCAACTTAAGTCTCTATTCTGACCTGATCTCTCAGATAGTCAAAACCGTCACTTTTACAGTTGGTGTAGTCGGGGTAGTACCAGTTCCCCGCCGATGAACAGTTCCGTTTGGCAAAACCTTTCAACAAAAATAAACTTTAGACTTCAAACAGTTTGATCAAAAACTTGGCCACACACCTCTCCTTCCCTCAAAGATCATTTTCTGTTTATAGCCTTTATATGAATAAAGAAAGTGTGACTATCATCATTCAATAACATAGAAAAGTCATTTACACTGGTAATCGTTCAATTATCGCTTCTTTAAAGGAAGAACGATTCAATATGATGATGCAGACCTTTGGCTCCCCTGGGACAAGGCTGTACGTCAACATCTCCGTAAACTACGTCATTCCATGTAACATTCTCAAAGACAGATGGGCACGCTATAGAGAAGGGAGACATTGAAAATGTACTAATAAGAAATCTAATAATCCCTAGCAATGGAAGACAAGTTATACACCCATGATGCATCACTACCACCTATATTTACAACGTGCGGATTTCTCTTATCTCATCATTTCAATTTGATTGTCCAGGGGTAGAGTGGCTAGCAACTAAGGAAAAACTTCGCAATGTCTTTAATACCCGGAATCTTGTTTTCATGTGAACGTCATCGGCTGACCAAACTGAAGCTGGCTTTATCAATGCTCACTCAAAAATGCTTTCCAGGTCCTTCATAGTTCACGAAATTTTTAATCAATGTGCCCAAAGACGCTTAAAGAAAGTCTAGATTTAAGATTTGATAAAATGAAAAGCCCAGTCGGTGGGTCTTTTCATTTGTGTATGTTTCACAACTGAAACTCCTCGGTAAGTTACTATAAGCATTACTGAGGAAACTACACGTGCAAAAATTTAGTGCAAAACGCTTCCCCATCATTATGCGTAAGTAGCCGATGTGAGGCATTTAGCCAGTCGATACGAATGTTACAATACAAATGTTTGGACCGACATCTTTTTGTCATTCTTGTCCTTGTTCACTTGATTGAGTGAACTGTGCAAAGAACAATTTATCACAAATTGTCATGTTATGATATTAAACAAAATATGGCCCAAAGATCTAAACTAAAAGTTATGAGCTACTTCGCTTTTTCTCCACATTATGATATTTTTCGCGTCATACCTTTACTCTGCTCAATTGAGTATAAGTAGCGGTCCACGGCTACGTTCCCAAGTTTTGCATCTTTGACTTCTTCCTTCAGCGCTTTCTCTACAGAGCCGCCTGTGTCTTGGAATGTTTTTATCAAAATATCTGCTTTTCCTGATCCTGGCCTGTGAAACGATTGTCAGATTTCATATCAAAGTCGACTTCGGCTTTAACGGCAGTGAAGTAAACGGGCAGCGATATAAATTATAAGTTTAGGGAGGAATTCCAATCCATTTTGGTCTGTCGACGGTGAAAACAGTTACAGCAGAAACTCGATTTCACGAACCCCTATATAGCGAAGTCCTCGGTACAATGAACGATACTCTTCAGCCCGGGCAAAGTTACACTAAAATATATGGGACAAAACGGAACCTCGAAATAACGAACCTCGATATTACGAAATCCTCGATATAACAAACAAACCCCGATATAAAGAACAAATGTCAACACGTGACAATTTTTAAAAAAAAATTTTTTTTAAAAACTAAACAAGTGAGCAGCACACTGCGAACAGTAGCTGTAGAATAAAGGGGGTAAGTTTCTAAAGAAACTGTGGTGCTGCATCGGTGGGAGAGTAAAGCAGGTAATTTAGTGTTAACAACTGAGTTGAAAACGTAAATTGGCCACCGTCGCTCTGAGGGAGGGCTAACGCTCGAAACGTCAGCTTTTTTACCCTTTAAGGTGGCCAATTTACGTTTTCAACTCAGTTGTTAACACTGAATTACCAATAGCTGTAGAACTTCTCTATTCTCCGACGCGTTTCGTCTAACTGTCGTCGACTTCTCCAGTGAGTTTTGCAAGTTAACACCAAATTAAACCGTGGCCCCTAAATATTTTTCTCACCTTGCTTAAAAAATTTTCAAAATTTTTCACAACCTCGCCTGTTCCGGTTCGGTCGTAAGTCCAGCCAAGACTATATGGTCATTGGCCCTTGTAATAGCCACTAACTACGGCTTATAAATACAAGCGTTTAATTTAGTTTTTTTTAAAAAAAATTCTTCATTTAGACATTAAAGCACAAATGTTATTTACATTAATCGTTCCAATTCCAAAAGGCTAAGTTGTGCAACGTCACACCACAAAAAAATAAAAAAGAAAAAACAAGCATTATAAATCATACCTCGATATAAAGACCTTTTTAGTTGTTTTCCGTAAATTCGTTAAATCGAGGTTTTCGATATAACGAACCCTCATATAACAAACCAATTGCTCCAGTCCCATTAAACTTCGTTAAATCGAGTTTCCACCGTACCGCCGCTTACTGCAGTATGTGTGACGAAATGAATGTCACTTACCAAAGCCTCATTAGGTTAGCGCCAAGGAAACCTGGAACATCGTTCATCGCAAACTGCACCTTCGATGCAAAATGCCTGAATTAACACATTTATTATCTCCCTTCATAAATAAACGAATCATGATATCATTAATTATGAAAAAATCAGTAAGTTAACAGACAGAACATGATAACTGATCTTGTTAAACAAGGTAATTTGGTTTTATCAACTGAGTAGATTATGTAAATTAGCCACCGTAACTAGGTTACTTGTAACTGACGTTTCGAGCGTTAGCCCTTCGTCAAAGCGAATCTTGATCTTGATCTTATTTAAGACTTACTTCTGACTTAATTCTCCGGGCCAGATCTTGGAATTCCTTCGAATCCTTATTGTTCATGTTGTTGTGAAATTCTTGACTCGTTAACTCCACTCTGAACAGGATATAATTTGCTCCAGTTTCTGGTGAGAATTATTCGTTAAAGATTGCATCAGAGTTTGAGTAGCTGGAAGAGGCGAGAATAACTTAATTCATATTACACATACTCTTAAAAGATTTTCGTAAATTGTTGCATCACTAATGCTTGAAAATAAAAAACTTTTGTTGTTCCTCAGATTTTGGTTGCTCGGCGCTTTTTCAAAGATGCGTTTGGAGTCTTGACGCCAGGTCAAAGTTCTCAGGACTAAGACTGTTCAACAACGAACCGCATCATGATTCGTATTTAAATTATCGATCCATAACGCGAGAGTAGGGATAACTTGTAACAGATAATGCGCAGTGTCACTTCGCCAGGGACGAAAATTTAAGAGCTATGATTAGTTTTGTTGTTTTAACAATGAACGCTATTACTTACGATCTACGGCAATCTTCATTTTGCGTTTATCTCGTCCAACCTCGTTCGTTGCCTCACAGTGAATTGTTGAGTTTATCTCCGCTTTGAATTGGATTGTTCTTTCTGACTCACTTGATGTCACTTTCACTCCATTTACGTCCTGAGCAAGCTGGTCATTGAACTTCATTTGAACTTTTGGAGGTGGGTTGCCTGTGGCGATACATTTGACTTCAACTGTCTGGCCGAGAGTCACCTTTGGCTGGCCCTCAAATTTGATAATAATTGGAGGTCCTAAGAATAAAGAGAGAGAGTTCAAACAATTTGCAAAATCTCTCGTCCGTAGTTACAAAACATTTCAATACTAACAATGGAAGGCTAACGACGTGCTTACACATGCGCGTAGTACTTTGTCGGTGGATGGGAAAATATTCACTGAAAGTTCTCAAAGTTGGACCTTACCGTGTGTTGTGGGTTGAGTAGTAACAGTGACCCAGTTACTGGAGACGGAACGAGTTGGTGACGAAGTCGCATCTGATTCAGCACGTGCTGGTTGTAGTTTGCCAGTCTGGATGATGGAGGCAGAACTTTTCCCAAGATTTCCAGGTGTGGTGGTGACCGCGGAGGGCTTGAAAATGGAACTTGTCGGAGAGAATTCCAAACGATCAACGTTCCATACATCTTGGCTGGAAGATGATTGTACTGCAAACATTGTTTTCGTTGGCGTTATTGAACCAGCGACGGGCTGGGGTGACGAGGTCACAATGACATTTTGTATAACTGACTGGGGTTGAGTTACAATGGCTGTGGCTGAACTGGACACAGATGAGCCTCCTATATTAAATCAGACAATACAATATTTTCAAGAGAGCACTACCATCAATATGATATTGTAGAATGGTCACCAGTTGAACTTTGTCGCCTTTTCTACTTCTCGATCTAATTTTAACCAAAATGCAATTAGATCAATGAGCATTGGAAACTGTTTTCTAGCTGATCTTTATTTGCTACTAAAACACCAAGTACAGGTCTCCAATTGTGTTGCAGAATTCTCCACTGTGTTAAGTAAAATCTCTGCGGAGCGCTGGTTCGACAATCAATAGGACTGTATCTTTCCAATTTCTTGCGTTTATTTACGATGCATACAATATCCGAACTTTCTACATTCAAACGATCTCAAGTCCTCCTCACTCTTACATTTCACCCTCACAACTACGCGGTTAAATCTATCATTCTTAAAAACTTTAAATTACTCCAAAACGATTCAGAGACTAGTACTATCCTTTCGCAACCCCCACTTATTTCATTCAAACGTGACAAAAACATAGGCAACTTTTTGCTTAGAAGTTCATTTCAAACCAATGACCAATCTGGAACTTTCAAATGCACTCGCTCATGATGCAAAACTTGTCCTTTCATTCATAAAGTAGAGAAAATATCCCAAACCAAAGGATCCATTAAGATCACTGATCACTTTACGTGTACTTCCGTCACTGTCATTTACTGCATAACTTGCACGTATTGCAATAAGTTGTACGTTGACGAAACAGGAATACGACTAGGTGACCGATTCCGAGAACACCTTCGCGACGTGGAAAGAAATGACAAGGGCGCATCCAAACCAGTCGCTAGACACACCCTAATCTCCCTAATCATTCAAAACAACATATGGCAGTTTCCGGCTTTTCCTTACATCTTGGCGGTTCGGAAAGCCGCAAAACACTAGAACAAAAATTTATCTTCCAAATCGGCACTCTTAATCCCCACGGTATCAACGAGCGCTTTTCATTCAACTAATTTATTCCTGTTTTCTCGTCACCATATTCCCACCTATAGCGTAGCGCCACTCTCCGCATATAAACCAACACACAACCCACAATTCCTCCAATCACTCTGACGAAGGGTTAACGCTCGAAACGTCAGCTTTTTTACCCTTTACGGTGGCCAATTTACGTTTTCAACCCAGTTGTTAACCCTTAATTACCTGCTATACTCTCCCACCGACGCAGCACCACAGTTTCTTTAGAAACTTACTCCCTTTATTCTTACTACAAGTAAGCCATTACCGTCCTATGCTCAATTATACCCCTAAATCTGAAGTAACCCAACTGTCATCAAAACCCTTAGCTTAGTTATTAAATTAGGAAATAAAGTGTCACGCGAACGCTTACAAGATTGTCACGACAAATTGTTACAGAGCAGGCCCTCTAAAACGTTTTCAATTAATTATAATTTCTCATCACACAGAGGATACTTACCACACTTGAAATAATCATTGGTGAGATCCTTAAAGTCTGGGCCATCTTGCTCTGGTGAAATGGAGCATTTCCCTTGTAAGGCTATTCCTTTCGTTCTGAGTTTTTTCCAGCGATGGTAGAATTTGCAGTCACATTTTACAGGATTAAATCGTAGGTCTCTACAGTGAAATAAAAAGAAAATAATCATGAAAGATTTTTTCAGTCTGCAATGATAAAGACCATTCAGAAAATAAGAAATCCGGCAGATTTAAATTAGACTAAGGTATGAAACATTTCCTTAAGATAAAATATATTAAAGTTCACACGGCAACCAGGTGGACAATCAGACATAGTTTGATGCTAATCTGGTTTGCAGATTTAATGAATGTAACCGAAGAAGTTAGAATTCATAGACCCAACGTTTCGACACTCCTGTCTAGTGCCTTCATCAGGGGTCATTATTGCTGATTAGTGAGCCAAATAGCGGCGGGTTTCGAGTGCAGATACTGAACAAGATAATCGAAAAAATCGTGGTAACAAGGTTGGAACATTCTCGTTAAGTCTGTTGACCTATACGGGAGAAAACTTTGGTTCACTCAATACAGTATTGACGATTCACAACGCAGTCAATCTTAGCGCCCATATATTAGAAATTCGTGGGACAACGTGATATTCGCTCGTCTAACTTTATCTTTGGCGGTAAAATTAAGGTTGCCTTTAACATCTAGATCGAAAACTTGCTGGGAAATATTTCCATACTGGAAATGCTCGATTGCCGTCATTACAAATGATGGTCTAACTACTTTCTTTCAAATCACCACAGACCCTGCTGTCTGTTGAGTCAACTTCATGTTGAGAAGCATATAGAATAATAATTTCCATGCTGATGAATACATTAAGAGGTACGAATGCTCCTTGTGTACAAGAGATCAAAACATATATGTGTAACTCATAAATTTGCCGAAAACAAAATGACTTCAAGGCAGTCCTTAAATCAAGCAATGATGAACAAACGGATAAAGTTTCGATCAATTCGTGATCTTGCAACCGTGTAGGGCGGGATTGATGTTTTTGTCATTAATTGTCCGCGAATTGAAAATCAAGCTGACTGTGTGACTGACTCGCCCGGTGATGACTTTGCAATCATGACCAGATTTAATTCAGAGTTCCAAGACAATCTGAGAACTTTCGATGGTGACATGTCATTTGTCTAACAAAACAGAGTAATATTAGCCTTTTTTCACCTCTAGTACAACACTATCCTTTACCAACAGCTTCGTGATTGTGAAGACAAGCCAAAGTGATTTGCTAATACAGGCGCCATCTTCAAGGGCTTTCATTTAGTAAACAAAAAAATGAATTATAATTTAACGCTTTGACGATTTATCGAGAACTGTCAATAATAGGATAAGATTCCAACAATTTACATCTGGTTTGTTTGGAGGAATATTTCAAAGTCCCTTGGGCATCTAACAATATGAACAGCGGTCAAGATTCTAGAAAAGATGATCAATTGGAAATATTTTCAAACCATCAAGTGTATAACTCACCTTTCGTATATTGTGTTCGTTGTGCCAGAAATAAAGTGTTATGTTTGTTTTCAAAATTTCCCAGGCGAAACCTAGTGCTTAAGCCTCCTTTACGCTGTTAACAGTTAAGAATGTTCTAGGAGTAGAATTACTTGAATAATTATGAGATGGTTAGAGAGCTAAAAATGACAACGTTTTCTTAGTACCGAATGTTATCACCTTGATATTGTTTTGAGGTAGAGTATTTACCTTTCATAATAACAGAAGTGAATCCTAGTTCTGGCTTCTCCATTAATTTCGATTTGATTTGTGCAGAGGAAAACAATAAACATGTCATGAGAAATGTAAATATGAAGCAGACTTGCACTAATCGTACTGTTTTCCGACATGAACTGATGTCTTTCGGGAAACAAACTGATATTCAGCAGTTATTTTGTTGACAATTTGCATGTATTTGGCTCCTAAATGCCTCAAAATTAGAAATCTAGTCTCGGTTTAAATAAAAGCTCATGAACATCACAAGCAATACTGGTTATCTGTGCAAAACTAGTATCGATTTAGCGAAATATTAAATGACAAAAGTCAAAGTAAATCAAAATCAGCGTAATGATTCATATGTGAAGTTGACATCAATTAAATCATAATGATAAAAGTGAAACTCGGATAGCAGCCATTATTCACGTGTCCAAGTACTTTTGATCGAAGCACATGACTGGCGATTATAATAGAAAGACGAATCAGTACACTTACAAGCTTGTTGTGTTGTCTGGAAGCACGCTTGGGATCTCGGAAAGACCATGGTCTCGGCAGTCGACCGAGACTTGTTTGTAGTTTGTCGTAGTACAGTTGCACGATACTGGACAAGTACTTGATCCACGGGCAGCAACGATAACCAATGTAATAAACAAGAGGAGCTTTAATGCAAACGTGGCCATGTCAGTTTTTTACCTGTTTGAAAAATGGGTTGTTTGACGAATGGAGGTTAAGCTGAACGAGGAAATCGCTTAAGATAGCATGACTTGGCTGACAGCTTGCCGCCCTGGTTGCTTCTGATCTTACGGACAAAAGTGATTTAGGACAGTTCCAACGCCTCGCCGTCTTCACAGCTGAATTCGCTTGTGATGCTAGTGATTTTCACGCGCTAATGTTAAATTTGCATAAGTTAAAATTCATTATATGCATGGCACTGACCAATCGCTTTGTTTGTCAGTTATGTTCAGCTGTCTAGCTCAACATCCTTTGTAAAGCAAACTTCTCGTCGCTAGTCTGTGCGCCCTCATAAGAACTGATATTGTGAACGTTATCAGCAGCGACCAGCAATGCAAAATTTCATCAATGCAGCAAGGGTTAGCCAGTGTCACGCAGTAGATGAAATAACGCTAAACTTAACGCTTAAATAACGAAATGCAATTTCGATTGAAAACGGCGGATGAATGCAGCGATTGTTCAAACTCTGATTACATCATCGCAAAATTTTAGTTTATCATGAGAATTTATTTCCCGTAGATTAAATCACATTTCTTTTCCGACAACCACTTCTTTCAAATAATCCGGAGCGAAAACATTGATTATTTGTTAATTTGATATTGCGTCTTTTGGTGTTATAAGTTATCAGTCATGCAAAGAATTTTAAGTATATAATCATGTCATTCATCAAACTTGAAAGTTTTCTTGAGATCGTTATCTGCTTTAGTGCCGCTAGCTTCTACTACAACGTAGGTCGCGTAAAAGAGAGAGAACTGTTGAGGAATAAAACATTGGAAAAGCCACAAAAACCTCAAAAGCCACAAAGCTGGCTAGAACAATCCCATTTTTAACACATAATTTAAACAAACATATCAACAATAGACAAACAGATAATTCTCTTACAAATCTTGTTTTCCACTTTAAATTTGACTCTTGTAAAGAACTCAGTATCACCGGAGTATTTCCCGGCGTTTTGAAGAATGTCGTCTATCTTCCATTTAGCTAGCCCTATTTCTCTACATGTCACGACTCTTGTGCGAAGTGCTAAATTAATTCACCGATAATTTCTAGATAATTGGTTTAGATAGGATGATAGGAAATAACGTCATAAGTCCAATAATAAAGGTGTCTTCGGAAGTAACCATAGGCAGTAATAGATGATATAGTAAAAATTATCATTTTTTGTCGACAAGTACGAAACAATCATTCAGCCCAGTTTTTTTGGACAGTTGAAGACCTCATTACCATTTCTCTTTGAACAGCGCCCCATAATTTACATTTGTGGCAGACTTAAACAAAGACCATACAAAGACTAAGTAGCTGTGGTTTTCACTCGAAGACAAGTTAAAAAAATAGCTGCTAGAAGCGTCGCCCAGTTCTCAGAATATTATAACCTGAGGAATATGTTTAATGGTCAAGTGATGCCAAACACCTTTCACAAGGAGAATTAATGAACATTTCTGTAGCAATCGCGGGAGGACGTAATCACTGACTAAAATATTTCAGACATAAAAATAAAAGAGAATCCAATTCATTGATTTTAACACAAAGGTGGGCACTTAAGTGTCGGAAGGAGTCATCAGTTGTTGTGTGTAGCTGAGCAGGGGGGGGGTAATTACCACCCTTTTGTTAGTTGTATTCCCACAGTTAATAAGAAAATATCGTCGGCATACGATATCTAACTGAACATTCCACTAAAACAGGCCGCAGTCTGATAAAAAGAATAGCTACCAAGGTAATTGAACACTGATACATTCCCAACATGTCACACCTAAGAACACATGTTCGCAGTGCGCAAATACCTCACAAGTACAACATGCCACCGGTAAACTGAACATGAAAACTGTGATTAAATGAAGAATTGCTTAGAATTGAATTGAAGACATTGATAACCTAAATCAGATGAAAACTCCTGATGCGTGTCACACCTATTATAGCGGCAAGGACAAAGCTTTAACAGATGAACCATGTATCTGAAAGCAACCAGCGAGAAAGGAACTGACTCCTGACGAAGAGTAAAGATATTGAAGTAAATAGTCCCGGGTATTTTCCACCACTGCTGTTAAGTACACAGCGATAGCCTTGCTGCCTGTGCGGGGTGTGCATAACAATGTTTAACACACCTCGTCTTTGCACACTTCTAAACTGACTCGAAGGGGTTCTAAGACAAAGCTAATTCCTTAACACTACTATGAAACCAAGTTAAACAATCTTTTTTCATTGATTCAAACATAGTTTATTTTCGTAAGATGTTTAAGATTACTAAATAAATTAAAACAAACTATTCTTCTGCGTCATTCTCTCCTGCTCTGTTGTTAGAGTGTTCTATACTTAAACCGTGGTATAATTAATAAGTGCTGTGATCCCAAATGAAATGTTTGTATATAAATCGCTTATTACGGATTCTAATGGATCTTGTGATTATCAGGGCAGTAATCAATTGCAACCAACTTTACCAACAAAATCCCGCATGGCTATTCACAAGTTTGAGCCATCATGGAAAAGAGTAAGCTCTTATTTGGGTTAGAAGCTGAAGGCCAACAAGATAACCTACAGTTATAAATAACAATCACTGAAAAAGCTTCATTTCAAAACGATCGAATGCTTAAGGGTGTCTAGCTCTTTTCCTCGGCTGTTTCTGTGGTGGAGTTTAAAGCCACAACTGAGCGAGGAAAAAATTGCTTCGTCTCAAAATTGATGAAGACCTATTTGCTGCCAAAGCATACGTCTCACCTTCGAGACAACAATCCGCATCATTAAAGTCCAAAATACTTATTTCTTGAAGGCTTGTTAAGAAATACAATGACCACTCCTTGACCACAACGAAAATAACCCTTATTACAAGTATGTTGAATCAGGCTTAGGTTAAAAATCCAAGCATTCTATTGAAATCACTCGTTTTCATTCTAATGATCAAATCAAGGCCCAATATGACAAGAAATTTTCCTCTTAGCAACTACGTATCGTGCTAAAATGCGTACGAAGTCAAACTGACATAAACTCCATGTCAATATGGTCAAGGAAAATAATTAGTTCTTTATTCACACATACTCTTTCCAATATTCCTTACAAAGACGTAGGCTTGTATAAATAAGATGTATATGAGGGCACCTCATGGCTCCATTTTAAGTCAATAAACTTTCCACATGTATGCCACAAATCCTGACACAGAAAGTCCATTAGACCTTGTCAATTGCGAGCGGTGCCAGTGGACCGTGAAACATTGCCAACACCCCTAGCTCCTTGCGAATGTTCAAGTACTTATAGCTCTGTATGTAAATCGCACGAACATCTGAAAAACGAATCCATATTGATCGGAGACAAAAGAAACACCAACATTTTTAAGCTCCATCAACAGAGCAGTACACCGCACTTGACAAGTTTCAGAACTGCACCCTCCGTTTGATGTCGAGACAATTCGCATACATCACTTGGAATTTTCTGCAAAAGAAAATAAGTAATTTGTTGCAACTAATGAAAAGCTATGAATTTGTCATTGCAGAGGATCGGTAGAGTGCTTCCAAAATTTAAGCCCATGCATATGAGTTCTTTGTTTCAGTTTTTATGTCACAGACTATTCACAAATGATTTATCAGGCAGTCAGAGTTAAAGTTCTGCGTTTGTTTCACTAAAAAACAAGAACAAAGAAGACAGCATAACAAAAGACGCGTTTATAGGTCGCCGCAAGCAACAGACATTAATGAGTTTCCTGGTCACTGAACAAAAAAGAGGCTTATCAGATAGAAAAAATACTTCACACATGATAAAATACCTAAAATTAAAAAGTCACACTTACTCAGCGCTTTTTCCCATATCTGCACACGAGCGTGTTCTTCTGTCAGCCAATTTTCTGGTCTGCTAAGGAGACTGTGCGAAAAACATTGCACAAGAAATATTTTGACTGACAGTCTACCCGATGCAATAAGTAGTTAGGGTTACTAGTGGAACAACGCAGATTACGTAATCACACCACAGCTACTTAATCTCTGTATGGCTCACTCCGCTACAAAAGCTTCAAAAAGTAAAATATAATAATAAGATTATAGCCGTTATTACAAGGTAGCTGTACAAAGAATGTAAAACAACCGAGGATCCCACACAAAGAGGAATGTACTTTGCATCAGACAGGATAAAGAGAGTGTACCCTTAACTCTGATTTCTTTGGACTTCCTTCTATTTTTCACGGCGTCAATGATCAATATAACGTTCAGCTGAAATACATTACTCACTTAGAGCTCAAACTCAAACCGGTCACTTGGTAGTCACCAGCCCTTCTCGCCGGCGCCATCAATCCTCTGTAATATAAAATTTCAGTTCAAAACATTTGTTGCTACGAAACAAAAAGAAAGCTAACCTACGTGACAAACGAACAAACGGAGAGAAAGAAGATAATGCGAAAGGCAAGGCCGAGGGGAAACAAAATTAAAAGCGCTATTATTGCGATAGCTTTCTAAGCTCACATGGGTTTTCTTTCTCTGTCTCACTTGTAGTTTAGCCACGCAGAGTAAAACTTGGGTGGAATGTCTTCCAAACTACGAAGCAAACAGTTTTTTCTAAAAAAAAACATCGTTCAGCAAATGAGGGGAAGAGATTTGATCTTAATCGATTAAGAGCAAAATCTACGATCAGGTCAAAAACTGAAAATGACGTCAGCGGTCAATTAGGTTCAAATTACGCTAAACTGATGTTAATTTACCTTTTGATGGTATCCATGGAAACATCAATTCCTTTCTCCTGCAGGCGCGCGAAGACCTCATGGCATTCTTCCGAGGCTACAATTTCTTCTTCCTTTTAATTCCATAAAATTCACTAATAAACGACACTTTGCCGATACAGTACTGATAGACTACACGTTATACTTCAAACGAGAAAACTAGTAATTTCACAATTTTCGGGTAAGTTTGACACATTTCACATTTTGTTTGGCAAAGAACTAAAAAAACACCAGGTTTAAGCAGTCCCGGTGGGAATTTTAAATATATTGTGCACATTTACTCTTTGGAAAAAAGAATTGTTCGGAATTTCAATGAGAAGTGTTTGCTCCTATCACTTGGACTTGTTTTTACTTGCAAAAATAACCACCTTAACATTCAAACACTTAAGTTTTGAAAATTAGCACTTATCTACATCAATTTGTCGTTTTTCATTGCCACTACCTTATTCCACGGCAGTGTGAGACTCTTGTTGTTGTTGTCTTGTTTCGATCTTCCATGCTCTTCTCTCCGTTTTTGACTTTCCTTTGAAGCTGTAAAGAAAACAAATGTTGAAGCACAAGTAGTACAGAATGAACAGAAACATCAAAATGAACATTAAAATGTTGGTCAAATCAAAGACGACTTATGTTTAATACCTGCTGGTAATGGTGGCGGGGGTTTTTCCTTGAACAAGAATCCATCTTTGAGAACTTTAGCAGCGGCACGGCTCCTACGAGCATCTTTGGAGCTACACGAGTTGGACGAGGAACACAGATAATTCATTGTAAAAAGAAGCAATTGCAGCACAGAAGCACAGAACAAGTAGTTCAATCAAAAGACCCGGTTGCTAACTATTCTCGCTGGTGAACAGAATCCCAAGAGATTGGTGTCCTGAGACTGAAAACACAATACCGACAATTGTGTACGATTTCAAAGGATATTCATCATTATTTCAAATTGACTTGGCTCAATGAACTTTACTACGCGAACACAATAACGAGCCTGACAGAGAAAACTCCATGTAGGTTTTTCTACAGACAACAAAAAACATTGCCTTACTCTCACCTTAACTTGCCAACATGGGCTGAAGAAGGCCTGGAGCGGGTTTGTCCTCCTTCAGATCCGGTCCTTTTTCGCTGTTAAAAGATAATCAACTTCCATTCGTTCAGAGATCCGTAAAATCCCAACATTCCGTGCGGAAAATTATAGCTGGTATAAAAGCAAACCTATAAAGGAATTGCAATGATATGCAAAACACCCTAAAAACACTTGTCGCACTCAGCGATGCTTTCATTAAATGGTTATTATGTATTCTGATTAACACAAACCTGTCCTTTAGCAGACATGGCACGAGGTTTGCTACCTGGTGAGTGAGGTTTTTCTAGTCTCAATATATCTCCGTTGCCTGACGAGCGGTTGAGCGGCGCGGAGCTGGGCCTAGTAACACGATGTTTCTGTAAAGAGGAGTTCCATGTGAGATAACGGTTTATTTGAATGGTCGGTAATAAAGACAACCTACTAAACTATAAAAAAAAAACTTGATTGAACACCAAGACAAATCGTAAAGCAAGGTACAAACATACTAATAATTTATCATTCTTCAAGGATGTCTCTTTTGTTCTAGATTTCGAGTTCCTTAACTCTGTTATCAAAGCCGTGGTGGGTCTGGTAACTGTTCTGCACGGACATAGTTCCTCGTCACCTGGCAGTTCTTTCACTTTGGCCAAAAGTTTTGCTCGTGAACTTTGAGCTGTTTTTCGAGTATGACTGAGTCTTGATTCTTTGTCGGTAATCTCTACTGCTGAGATTTCTTGTTCCTGTAGGTTAGCCTCCTTCATTTCCAAACCATTGTTTATAACAACTCCTGAACTTTGAGACCAAGCACAAGTTTGTACAGCAGGTTTGGCGACAATTTCCGCCTCAACACTGGAGTAAGTGGGGAGTTGAGAAGAGTCGAGGGGAATTTTAACGTCATCAACTTGACTCAAAACATCTCGTCTAAACGTTACAGATTTGAGTTTCAGATTGCTGCCCAGTGACAAATTAGTATCTGCTGCCTGATACAAATGGATATTGCCTTCAGAGCTTGACTTTCGCAGAGAAGACTTTGATGGTTGATCCAGGATACTGCTGTCACTTGAATTTTCAGTGCCAGACTGTCGTTTCTGTTTAAATTTATGTCTTTTCTTGGTTTTTGAGGTATTCCATTTTGGTAACGGCGGTTTTGTAACAACCTGAAAAAGTATTCAATTTTGCTTGAAACACGAAATCAAGCTCATCAAGGTGGAAGAAAACAACATTTCGCAGAAAATATCACGCAAAAATGATGCATATTAACGATTATGGAGTCGAACATGAACACTCTGCGCATAATGTCTCTTCAAATTGTAAAAAGGAGTAAAATGCAACTTGTTTAGTGGTGGATATACATGTACACCGTGAAGAAGAGTACAACTCTTATTATTCATTAGTCTCATTACTCATTACACATTGCGCAAATCGGCACATTTTCAACCCACCTTGTCTGGATCGGTGTCTTCTCTCTTTTCAAGCATTTCATGTTCTTCCCCAGTAAAGTCATTATGTCTTGGATTTTTTCGTTGGTCTCTTGAAAGGTTTTTCGCCACTAAGTCCTCTGGATTGAAGAATTCCATTGTTTTTCCTTTCAGTGCAAGAGAACTTTCGCTTTGTTGTTTTCTAACACGCGAAGTTTTATGCTGAGTCATATATCTTGCTGAACAGGCTCGGGGAAATCGGTTGGAAAGAGCATTCAACCTGTTCGAGACCTGAGGCTCTTCAACCCACATGGTTTCGTATCCGATTTCATGTTGTGGCGTTGTTTCTTGATCAGTGCCAGCGGTGCATTCTATTTCCATCTTTGCCAAAAGAACTGAAGGGGTTGTGGCGTCACAGGTTAATTCCAGATCTAAATCTCTTGGGCTGATTCGAAGCTGACTGATCTTTTCGTTCGTGCTTTTCATGTCGACTAGCATATCAGATATTACAGCACTCTCTGCTTGACTTTTATCACTTATTTTATGAAGCATAGACTCGCTCCTGGCAACATAATCAGAAGACACTCTGCCAGTGTCTAAGAGACTCGGAGTCTGTTCATCATCACTTTCGGTACCTTCATTACCTCCTGTTGGAATTGCGAACACCAAAGAACGCGAGCCAGCCGAAGATATCGACCTTGTCTCCTGAGATTCATCGACCAAATCATCATCATCGTCTTCCTCACTGTAAGCTTCTTCGGCTGATTGTAAAACTTCAGGCCAATTTAGTTTTGGTGACGATGGTTCTGGAGAGGCTCTGGGAGGTGGTGGAGGGGGATTGGTACTCTCAGAATGTTCATCTTCACAGAATGCCGCAGAGTATCGCCAAAGGTCATGCGGTGCCAAGCTGCGATCCAGCTCCTCTTGCTGACGATCAAGATACACTAATCCTATAAATGCGTACGTGGAAAAAAAAACTAACACATTAGAAAAAACAGACCTATAAAAAAAAAAATTATGATTGCATTCAGGATATTAGAGGAGATGTATCCCATTAGTGTTTTGATAGTTTGCTGATAGTCAAGTTCATTCTACCAACCTTTGTAAGAAGTATCATCTTTCTTTGTTTCCCTGAGTGGCAAGGACCCCGGAGGTGGACGATGCTGAGGTGTCACTGTTTGCCCTTTTACTAAAAATAAATTGAATGTCATTCATGAATGAAATTATATTTGCAATCACAGATGACAACACCAATTGTAGGAATGATAGTACATTGTTTTAAATAAATGTCCAGTGCCTTTTAAAGGTAAATGGTCAGAAGAAATATCTCAGTCTGTATTATTATCAACTTATGTATGTTTTTTTTTTTCATTGCTGATCACTTATTTTGCAAAAATTCTTGCCTTTCAAATGCATGACAATAAAATGATTATGATGTTGTCTTAGTGCCATTTCTTTACCTGAGCCTAATTAATTCTACCTATTTCACCAGATACCAGGAAAACAAAACAAAAAACAGTACTTTTGCCAAGCCTCCTGGTGAGTCCTGGCATCAATTAATTTTAGCAACCTGAAATAAATGCACTGTAGTTGTTTTCAGAGGGTTTCTGCCAGTCTTGCTTCTTCTCTGCACTCCTGGATGAATACACAGTAGATGACTGGGGCCTCCTTTTTAGTTTGGATTTCTGCCTTTCATGGAACTGTTTCATTATTTCAGGTACAGACAAGTCTTTCATGCTATTGAACAACATGAACATCATAAATCAATCAAATATTGTCCATGAGTTAAATCAACAAATAAACAGAAACAGCATTTACAAGTCAGTGAACAGAAAAACATTTGGCAGTTTCAGGCAGAGGAGTTTCTGTAGAGGTACTTAAATGAACCAATGAATAAAGCATTTTAAATTACAGAATGATGTGCTTGTACAAGAATTTGAACTCATTCAACCAACAGATCCTACCAACAGGTTACAACCCAGATTTTCCTTCTTAGCTAGTCCAATCTCTTCAGTGCACTTAATTTAAGTGTTTGGGTTCATAAGTTTAAAATTCACATGGGTGACATATAAGACTTACAACTTACATGACTGTCAACAACCTTACGACAACTTGAACGTTTTCATTGCAAATAAGACATTTACACAATGTACATAAGATGTGTTGGGTCACACATCTAACAGCTGAACAAGGAAAATACTTCCTCAACCCTTGACTTACCGGTTTGTAAAAGGGGATAATGCATGATATGCTGTCACTTACCTAGCTGTCTCTTGGCTGTCAATGTGTAACTGAGGAGGCCCAGTTTCCAAACTTAAGAAGCTGTCTCTACTTTTACTCCTGTAGCTACACTGGCAATTTACTTCTCTCTCACGTGGTCCTCCATTCAGCCAAATTGAAGTCTTTTTAACATCTTTAAGTCTAGTGAGTGACTGATTTGTGTGATGTAACCAGTCCTAAAGATATAATTGTCACTGAAAATTAGGGGCTGATGAGGAATATGTAGGGTCAATGGGAAACAAATCTCACTGTTTCTCTTGGGGTCAGTCATTAAGTGTTGTGCTATTTCCCACAACTCAAAATAAAACAAATTAGAGGGAAGTTAAGATCTGCTTTGTTTAAATTATGAAAGTTCTCATCAAAATTTTCTTGCAGAGGTCTCTCAACCTCTTTGAAGCATCATGGTTGGCTCTGTCAATAGATCTCAAGGTTATATCTCAAAGGTATTGTTTCAATTATTTTTCAGTTCTTGTCAGAAAGCAGTTAGTTGCTATGACAACAAAAAAGGTTTCCTTAGCTGGAGAAGCCAAACAGATTTAATAATAATAATAATAATAATTTATAGACTTATATTGTGCAATTATCAGTATAAGAATTTTCAATTGCGCATTACAATTAAATGTTAAAAATTCAACCCCCACATAGATACTAAAAAATAAAAAATTAAAAAAAAATTTTAAAAAAATTTAAAAAAAAATTAAATAAGTAAATAAAAATGATCACTAAGAAAATGTAAAAATATGAAATTAGATACAAAGAATTAAAAAGCTTTGGCAAATAAAAAAGTCTTAATGGCCTTCTTAAACTTGTTTAAAGAATGGGTGTTTCTGATAGAGCCCAGAAGATTGTTCCACAATTTCGGGGCAGCGGCATGGAAAGATCGATCGCCAAGTGTAAAAAGTCTATTCTGTTTCCAAGTGCACAACTTGATTAGGTGCAAGTGGAAAGTTCAAGTTGTTGTTTCCTTATGGAGTTTGTGAGTTTTATTTCCCTGTGATAGTTGGTGTGTTTTTACCCTTGCCACCTGACTCGTTCTCCTCCAATAAGAAAAAGTATTTGAGTTGGCAGATATAGCAACAACTTTTTCAATCCCTACAATTCTGTATCTTTCAAGGTTTCACTTTTTTTTGTTAATGATTTCAACCACTAGTTTGATTTAAATTTACATCAGCCACAGGATTTAACAGGGAGTTCGAGATCATTATCATCAAAAAGAATAAAAAAAAGAATCAAACTGCTTTGAAAATGGCTCACGCCTGGAAGCATCTAAGGGAAACTGCAGTTATGTCTACTTGGTCAACATTAGAGGCATAAATCTAATGATCGATTAGGTTAGGACTTACAGATTTAAGAGCTTGAGTACTCTACAATCTTTCCAACATTTGAACTGAATGAAATCTCAGACTTTACGTCTTGATAATCAAATGCGTTTTGATTTTTGTGTTTTTACCCATGGTAATTAATCTAAAACGCCGCGGAACGTTTGAAATAAGCAAGTAAGAGTAACTGCTTCTAAATGAAGCCTATCATAATAATTTAGCTCAATGTTCCAAGTAGTTTATAGCCGGCAAAGTTTTTTTTCCTGACCAGAGACACGACCCCGCAAGATAAAATTTCTATGTCTACCGTGTTTAAATAAAGATAATAATAATGAAGATAAAGAAAGAAGGTAGCTAAAACATCTTTGATGTTAGTGACTCACTCTTGATGCTGGTGGTCTGTCGCAGTAATTCTCACTTTCGACATGTCCAGATTGCGCCATCATGCCAATAAAAACACCGCATTAATTGTTTGAGTTTTCAGCTTCATTTCTTTTATCAGTGATAAGCAAACGAAGAAATAGGAGTCCTTAGATTGAATCGTAGTAACGGTAAACAAACCTTTCAGAGGTTTTCCTGCGCCATGTTTTGACACTTCTTCTTAGAGCAGCCGCTGATCAGGTAGATTCCATTGACTGCTGACGATTTTGAAATTACTCGCACTGTGATGACCGAAGGAGACACTTCTCAAGGGTAAAATGGATAAGTCATTTCGGACATATGTCACTTATAATTTATAGCCCGGGTTGGTTATTCTAACCCTTCAGGGACCCGGATTCAGGCCCCTGAATACTACTAGTCGAGCCCTTCGTCCCAACATGCATTCTCAGACAGCATTGACATTTTCTAAGTTAAGAGCGTTAAACGCTTTTAATCGTAGTTCCTACATCAAAGTGGAAAACTGGACCGGCTGATTATAAAAAAGTCATGAGAGAGTTATGTCACTACATATTAGACTTGGCTTGTCACGGAAACCATGGTTACGAATTGGTTGACATCCGTATCGACCCTTGGATTACCAAGGCATTCAAAGCTCGAACAAGTCTCTACATTCAGTTCAGCGAAGAACAGGAGCCATTGTACATAATTTGTTTAAGTTGGTTTGAACTCTTCGTGGTACCTGTAGGCGGCAAAGACCATCACACTTTGAAATAAGGCCTGGACGAGTTTTTTACATTTTTTTAATTTAAAAGTTTTCAGCTAAAAGAATCGAGTCATTTCACAAAATACAGCGAAGAAATTCATAGTAAAGAGGGTTTCAAAAACTTAACAAACAAGAAGCTTAGGATGAACTTTATACAAATTACTTGATGCTACCTAACTATGTACTGTACTGTAAAATTAAATCAACAAACACATCTAGATCGTCATAACATTATTACCGTCAACAACTTGAAATAGTTATCAAAACGTTTTGCACCCTAAATGAGAAAGCAAAAAAATTACGATAACATTATTAAAAAATGTAGGAAAAATTATTTTTATTTTGAACAGATGATACAGGAAAAACAACGTTTGGAACTTCAATTCATAATACTTTCCGTTTATTACAACTCCGTCAGGGCTGGATGGAGAGTTTGGCGTAGTTATTGACCAAACTTTTGCCCCCTCCGTCTGGTTTGGCTGACTAAAATTTGATACGATGATGAATGTTTTAAATGGTTAACGTTCTGACAACCCTCTCATTTAAATTCGTAAAGCGTAGACATCTCGTCGCATGTTGTTGCTTATAAAGTCAATTATAAAAGTAGAAAGGTTTTATTGACTTGTATTAGCAAAAGACATTAAAATCCTCTTGTGCAAGATATTGTCTTATAAAAAGTTTCAACATTTGCTGTTTTTGTTTATCAACCATCCTGACATTCTACCTCAAAGACGTCATGGTATCACGGTTATCGACCGCCTTTTAAGGCAAATTAAATTGCTATTAAAGCAAGAGAGCCACTTCCATAATAGTGTTACACGGGCATAAGTTTTCAAGTACTTCTTGTGCTGATATAGTTGTGACTGACTGACTTAGAACAGTTACAGGTGTAAAAGTCTTCATCCTCACACTTCCAGTGTTAGTTTCACTTGTTTAAAAAATTTGTCATAAAATCCACAGGAATTGGGAAGATGATGGTGGAGTTCTTTTCAGCTGAGATGGTGTTCAGAGTCTGTAGATAACGAAGCTGCATCGCCGACGGTGTCTCCGCCATTATGTCAGCGGCCTGCTTCAAAGAACGTGATGATGTCATTTCACCTTCTGCAGCAATGACCTGAAAAACAGAGGGAAAGCATTCAGCTGTTTGTTTCATACAGCGCATTTGAGGGCGAAAACAACTTGAAACCGTTTGTCCCCTCAAAAAAAAATTGAATGGAGTTATACACCGAACCTCTCAGTAGGGTTATACCTTAGCTTTAGCTTCCCTGGTAGCTTCAGCCTCAGCCGCCATAACACGCTGTAACTGGACTGGAAGGCGGACATCCTTACTGTAGAAAAACATAGTCAATGTTTATCTTTTGACGTTTATCGTAATTTTTTTTTCATGGCATTTCACGTGAAGAACCAAACAGTCATGTTCAATCATACGATTTCACTAAAACAACAGTGCTTCATTGATGTCTTGTCATGACCACCAGATCGAACGCGTTTTACTTGAGCACACTTGAAAATCATAGTTTCATTATATTCCCGAGGTGAGTTGACTTTAATTGTTACATTCAATGTTAATAAGCTTTGCTTTAATGAAGTGGAGGTGAACTCGATGGCAAGAAACCTTACATCTCAACTCTCTCTACACGAACTCCCCAAGGATCAGTGGCGTCATCCAGGAACAACTGTTGAGCAGACATATGAAATAGAAAATATAAGTTAGAGTAGAGAAAAGTTGGAAACGAAAGTGAAATGATTTCTGCAAATATCGGGAATGAAGTGATAAGCAAACCTGCATCTGAGAACTCAAACCCTCTCTATCCATTAGGATATCGCTCAAATTCTTTGTACCGATCATGTTTCTTAAGGTAGTCTGAGCCAGCAGTTTGGTGGAACCCTGAGCGTCTGAGACGTTTGTAACCGACACTGTTGCATTCTGGATCCTGAAGTACACCACTGCGTCAACAGTGACTGTAACACTGTCACGTGTCAAAGCCTAGCCAATCAAATTAGACCATGTTACAAGAAACTATACCATGTCTTAATTAATAAAGCTCGGAATGTTTGAGGAATTTAAGGCCAGCCTAATGGCCTGAAATAAATCCTAACAATCTATATTTCAACATGAATGGATTCCTATTCCTAGAAAATTATACAGCCGACACCACCATTTGAGAAAATTTAAAATGAACGATTACCTCTTGAGGGGGTACATCAAATGACACTGTCCTCAAATCCACTTTGCTGTACTGATCAATCTTAGGTAGAACAAAAAACAACCCTGAAAATTTAAATTGACATGTCAGTCAAAACATTTGGCTTGGATACCCTAAACGCGTACAAAAGACGTTTTCCAGAAAAGAACGAGTCATATACTATGTCAAAATTCACGACTGGAAACAAAGACCTTACCTGGTCCCCGGGCCCCACCGGGGAGTATTCTCCCAAGTCTGAAGATCACAGCTCTTTCATATTCCTGCACTATCTGTTCAAATAGATTTGTCCTAGAATTCGTTATCTCTTAAGTTAAAGTTCAGCAAAATGCTTTGTTACTCTAATATAATTCACTTTATGCACTCACCTTCAAACAAAAGAACAAGGAAAATGGAAATGTTACCACGACAAGGATATAGCAAAGGACAGTAATGACGATCCCGCAAATTCCCAGTTCCCCTCCATCAGGTTGACTGGCTAAAATGTAAACAAGTGACAGCTGAGCGACACCTGAGTGACAGGTGGAACTCCACCCAAAAGAATTAAACTACGCCTTTCAATTTCATGCATTCGGCTACAGTGACTACCACAAGAAATTCCTTTTTACACAGCTAGAAATTCAAGATTCCAGTTGACTGATAACTATTTCGAGCATTTCAGCCCAACAACGAGACTGCGAGGAAGAGATGTGTTTTATGTATCAAACTTTTCTAACGGTTATACACTCTTTAACCCTCGCCCGTATCAAAAACTTCCAGACAATCTTGTGGAGTTGAATTTCAGTAAATTTTCACCAACACTCAAATTATAAAACGAAAAATTATTAAAAGGAAAAAACAAAGGAAACACAAAAGAATGTTGCGGATGATCCCACCAATCCAAGATTACTTCTTAAAGACGACAAACATAATCCACAAAACCTCCCTGCAAAGTGTTCCTCAAAAAAATCTCAAAATCTCAAGAGTGAGTACTCTTTTATTCTAAACTCGACCTGGAAGACGATTAATATCTTACTGGTTTCACTACAGTTAACTAACTGAGTTTACAGTTGAAGACGGCTGTAGCAACGCTTGATTACACTTTAATGCCTGGCACAGAGAACAGGTTTGTACAGTGTAATTACTTTGGTCGGAGGTTTTAATGTTCACGAGTCGCTCTCACGGCCCAAACTCTTTATTTCGATAAATTGTTAGTTCACACGGAAAGTCAGCAAACAAACAATGAGAACAGGTCGGTAACAGTACAATACCTAGTGGCTGGTGTTTGGTGTGTTTGGTAACGCATCGATAGTTTTTAAACAGAGTTCTCTAAGGCGTAACAGCCTCACAACTTCCACACAAACATTTTATCTCAACTCGACCAATTAAAGATGCGAGGTTTTGGATGGAGTATCATGAACAAATATTCCGCAGACAGGTGACATGAATAACCAGACGAAGTCTCTTTAAGAAAAAATCAAACGCAGCAAGTAAAAGAACACTTGCTCTCGTGTTCTGGTAAATAATTTCAACTTACAGCTCATGCATTGTATGCGAGGAAGGCCTCCGACTTGACAACCTCCATGATGCTGAAGCGATTCCTGTGACATTTTGTACGCACTTGTGAAAGCTTCAAACTAACGCGATTTTCAGATGCAACAAGTTTGTATACATAGCTGATGATCTAACTACTGCCTGTCGGCCGGCACTGCCCACAATACCTGTTAAGGCTGTGACAAATAAATTATAAGCACCTGTTGTACAAGGGAGGCTTGTTTGAATTTATCACGAACAAAAATAAGAGTTCATTCTTATACTTCAAAGTCAATACAAATTACCTGTAGTAAGAAATTTTCACAAACGGCACTAAATCGACTCCTCACTTTAAGAAAGAAACTAATATTTTTGTCTGTCGAACGGCACATTCCGAAGGTACCATGCAGCATTTTGCAATGATTTCTGCACGAAACAATTGCAATTAATAATGACCTATCACTATATGTTCACCTATTCTTTCCTAAAAACAAGCAAACAAGTACATTATTAGTTTTCTAGAAAAAAATCAAAACAGTTACTTTAATTCAAACTTTAAGAACTCGAGTTTCAAAACGATATCTTTATAATAAGCATGGGGTTTACATAAAGAAGAGAGCGCATAATCCGGATTTAAATGTACTGGTACAGCAATTGAGTTCTCTTCGAGCGAGACCATCAAACAAGAAAAAGTATGCAGCTACTTGGCAGTGCAATTGGAAGAGCATTACAAACTGACAGCTCATCAAGTGTTTTAACGACTTTATATAATCACTGCTCACCTAACAATATCTTACATGAACTCAATGTTCAGAGGGCCCAAGTTGTTCCGAGAGCCTTTGTCCATTACAGTATCTTGGACCTTGGACCAATTGAGCTTGCCTTGCACAATGATCTCCCCTTTCAAACCTTTTTTAAGTCGAAATATTTTAAGATAGGGTTCAGGTCTCCTCTCAAATGTGACTAGGGCGTGTAGTGAATTTTTTTCTGATGGGGAAAACCGCCATCTTGCCGACTCATTGATCTAAACAATGTCTTTCGCTTTACAGACTAAGCTAAGACGAGGACGGAAGACAACGAAAAAGTTGGTTTATTCACCTATTCATCACACCATAATACGTCCGGCTCTGATATCTAAGTAAAACATCACTTTTGGTTATTCTTTCTGTCTTGCAAGGTGGAAAGTTTAATCTCGCCGAATTGAAGGTTAAATAGAGAACTGATAAACATTAAAATTTACCAGACAACTCAATCAGTACTGCAGTTAAACCTAAAACAAAGTCAACCCTTTTTTATTACAAGTATTACTTACAGCTATCACAGCCAAAGGATTCAGCATTTTTTATGACGATTTTTTCATATTTGTTTCTGCAGATTATTAGTTAGTGAGAATAGCTCGGTTATCGATTGTCGGAGAAATGTTTATTGGAAATGCCCACTTCACTTCAATAATAATAATAATGATAATGATAACAGTAATAATCACTAATATGAATCCTCTCTTATGATGACTGACTTTTCTCTGTCCAGCGGTCCGTAACTACAAGAAATGAAACAAACTGTCAGAGGGAAAATCACACCAAACCAAATTCACGCGAACCTTTGGGTTCCTCACCTTAAATAAATCGGGTTTAATTAATTTAAGCAGACTTGGCAACCACCTCCTCGCCAAGTTTCTCTAATATTTCTTGTCTGTAATCATCAAAATCGCCATCGACCTCAGTAATTTCCTGATTTTCAACCACCCAGAGTTGGCAAGAGGTCTCCAGGATCAGACGAGCATCGTGACTTACCAATATAACACCTGGAAGAATGCAAGAGTAACCCAGATCATGGTTAAACAACTTTTGTCCGCAAGTTAACCCACGCACTTTAAGGTAAATCAGCCTGCCAACAACTGCACTGTTCTAAATTAAGTTCAGCAAAGGAACTTTAAGATCGCCGAGAAATATTAAGTTTAGTCGTTGATTAACAAAACCGCGTCTTCAACAATTCGCAATTTGGCTAGACCTTTTATCAGAGTCTGACCACATATTTTCGTGAACAATGTCGAGAGGGCCGAAAGCTAACAGTGGAAGGACATTTATTTAATAAAATCAACCCTCTTATGGAGAAAGCCTGAGGCCCACTGATTCTGTTAAACCATGGTTTGTGTTGAACCTCGTGTAAATAACCGACCCTAACTTTTTCATTTCACTTTACCTCCGGTAAACTCATTAATAGCATCGGCAAGAGCATCGATGGATTCTATGTCCAAGTTGTTTGTGGGTTCATCCTAAAACATAATGGAGTCTTCATTAATGTGATACACCCTATAGAAATCGATTGAGATTTTTTCGACAGCACTCTTAAGTTGTTTGCGCATAGCATATACTCACCAGTACAATTACATCCGGGTTACTAAGTGCCAAGTCTGCGAAAGCCACACGTGACTTCTGACCACCTGAGAAACGAGCATGACTATTAGCTCTTCAGCATCAACCACGTTCAAATATACGATAACAGAGATAGTGAAACGAAAACAGAAAAAAAAAACATACCTGATAAATCTTTGGTTCTTATGGTATGTGCATGACTCACTAATCCAAACCTTCCCAGATGTTTCCTTGCTGTCTGATAATCAAGGTCATATTTCCTCTGCAAAGAGTAGTGGGGAAAACTTTAACTAAATCTGGCGAACGATGCACCGAAGGAGATGCCAATTTCTCTTTTAACTTTAAAATGCAATAACGTTTATAACATTTACAATTGTGTAACTTTAATTTGATTAATTACCTGGAGATATTCTACTGGAGAGTCATCCATACTCAGCTGTGATGAAAACAAAGAAAACCTCAGTTAAACAACAACAGATCATAGACTATTTCTTATTATTATAACATCATCATAATCATCGTTATCACCTGTAAAGACAATTACATTCAAAGCATATAAATGTATATCACCTGATCAGCAGAATGCTGGTTGTAAGATCCAATGCGCTATAAAAACAACAAGTAGATGTCAGATAATTATCAATTGGAAGCAAATTAGACTTTAAAATTTGGAATATTAATGCTACAAATCACAAAACCAAAACAATTTTCAATTTGATCAAGAAAAGCAATGCAAGTACTAAATACACACCAATACATTTGCATATTTATCTGCACTTTAACAAAAAACACAGCTGCGATTTTACTTACAAGCCTGTGGTTCCGTACAATATCACCTTTTGCCTGAGACAAAATAGAATTCACAAACTTTTTGTATATTAATGGTCATTAACCTGTATAAGGTACCAGTACACGTACATTAAAGCACTGTAAAGTAGATTTTAAAAATAAATATCCCCACCGGTTCAAGTTCACCAATCAAAAGCTTCAAGAATGTACTTTTACCAACTCCATTATTTCCAACGATAGCAACTAAAACAGAAAAAAGGACAAAAAGTAGCAACAAATGGTGAGCCTAAAGAATTCTTGCACTATGTTGTAATCAGAGACATTAGAATTCAAGGTATTGTTGACAACATCTATGAACACTGTATGGTACAAGACATTCTATGCTTATACCACTGGAAAACTCTCAAAATGTCCTCCACTTACCTCTAGACTTCATGTCAATACCAAAATCCAGATCATTAAACAACTTTGGTTGATTGGAATATCCAAATGTCACAGCTGTTTACATCATCACCATAGTATCAAGCCATTATAAGAAAAAAGTAGTGTAAAGTTGTTGGAAAAAATAGTTTAGATTATCACTTGAACCTGCCCTTCTATTGGATTATCATGCTGTCATTCATTATAAAAAACAAAGAAAACATCACAAGATCTATAAAAAAAAAGGCTTTGGAAGTTACAAGTATTACAGTAGGAACTCTTTTGTAAAAGGCTATCAATGGGTACAAAGTTCATTAATTAAATGCATCAAAGTTAGCAGTATTTTTCCTGAGAGTAACATGCATACTAAAATTGATGTAATGTTCTGTGATTGTTTCATTATTTTGACTTACATTTTAATCCCAGGATAGGTGGATTGAGAGGTGGTGGTGAAGGAAAAGAGAATTTCACCACATACTCCTTAGGTTTTTTGATAAGTTCCATCTGTTCAATATCATCCTGTCAAAAATGAATCAACTCTATTTTCAGTGAATGTTAATACTTAAATCAGAAAATAAGGGATCAAAGTTCTTGTAATTGATTTTCTTTTTCAGAAATGATGTGATTAATTCTCATCAAGACAAACAGCTTCCCTCCATTATCTATTTCAAAGCAGTGTTGATCATCACCTACCTCTTCCATATCTTTCTTGCCCCCTTTCTTGTTTTTTCTTCCTTGAGCTGCTTTTGTTTTCTCCTCCTATAATTTCACACTTTTTTTTCAGTATTCAATCCAACTGGCACAGTTAGGTATCAAACTTTTATCCATCCTCGTTACTGACAATAATAACACAAGGCTCCAAGTTCTGAATATTGCTCAACTTCATATTCCAACACGATAATATTCTTTAATAATAGACCCTTACTGTCTATTAGTTTATTGTCATTAAACCAGGCAGGTTTTGTGAGAACTCTTAAACATCCAAAATGAGTTATTACAGTAAATCAATTAACTGATGAAATTTGTCAAACAGTCAGGGGCTTGGTGGTTCAGTAAATGATGGGTTTTAACCAGTTAAGGCCTGTCCAGTGTATCTCATTCATTTACAATACTTGACATCAAAGTTAAAATAAAAGGAAAGTAAGTCTTACTGCTTGCTTTCTAGATTGACCAGAAGCCTTCAGATCCTTGATTTGCTTTTGCTACAGAAAACAGAAAACATTCCATCATTATGTCAATCTTGACACGAACTTGAGGCTAATTTTGTATCCTTAAAGCACATATTAAGGGCATGACAGGAGTCAGTAAAAACAAAGTGTATAGTACCTGTTTGTTGTATGCTTTTTCCTGTTCTTTAACTTTTTGTACGTACATCTTCTTGAATTGGTCTGAAGAAAAGAAGATTACAGTAAATGAGATCTGAAAGTCAATACTTTACCTGTCTTCGAAGAGTGAAAACAAAGTATTAGATCACTCACTAACCATAGTTTCCTCTGTAATAGTAAAGTTTTTGTTGATCTGTAAGAATATGAAAACAGTTTTAAAGTTGCAAATGAAAATGTTTATCAACAACATGTGTATTACTTTGTCGAAACATACCTAAATGAATGATATCAGTACAAACACTGTCCAGAAAGTACTGATCGTGAGACACAACTAACAGAGTCTTCTTCCAGTTCTGTAGGTAGCTGATATAAAAAGAAACATGTGAAAATAATTATCCAGTTTTAAAAACAAGGGTCAAAAGAGATAAACACTGATCTGAGAACAAGATCATTTACCACAACAGAGAACAAACATACATCAATGAAACTTTGCCATATAACCCTTGCTTGTACAAAGATATGAGTTTTTGTTTAATATTTTAAAAGAATACTTTATTCTTTACATCTTTAATACCATTGACACAGCTAGCAAGAATATAACCTTGAAATTTGAAACAGTATCGGTCATGGCTTAACTATCATACTTACTTGTCTAACCAAATAACAGCATTCAAGTCCAAATGGTTTGTAGGTTCATCCAGCATGAGAAGAGTTGGTTCCATAAAGAGAGCTCTACAAACAAAATGTTTTATAATTGGAATTGAGAGGCTGGTATTTTTCACCTTCCAACAGCCCCTCAGAGTAGTGAAAGTAGTGCATATTTACCAAACAGCAAATTGCCAAGTAAATATCTACTACCATTCAGCTCAGTCTATGTTTGTGATTTATTGTTCACTACAGCTACAACAGTATCTGAATCATTTTTACATTCACTACCTTGCTAGTGACACCCTCATCCTCCATCCTCCAGAGAAATGATTGACAGGCCTCTGCTGCATTTCAGTCGTAAATCCCAGACCCTTATAGAAAAAGACACAATCAATTTATGAAGAATAGTAATATCATCAACACTTTTTTAATAAAGACTTGTGCTCTATTGGATCATCTTTGAGTTTGTTTATGACAGTGTGATTTCCTTCCTATATGAATCTGGTTTAAATATTATACATTACAACTATAATCAGCTATCTCAGCTTTATTGAAATACTTTCAATCTCTAAGTTTTGACATGTACTAAAAATGGTTGAGTGCCATTTTCGCAAACTACAATTAATGTAACTTACAGCCAAGATTCTTCGCACCCTTGATTCAGCAGAGGCTGCACCAATAGCTTCTAATTCAACATAAACCTTCAATGTGTAATAGAAGTACCTATTACTACTTTGTAATATCTATATTAACCCTCACATGTAGCCATGGTGTATAATGGTTAAAAAAAACTAAGCAAGGATCAGATTTCTCAATAATAAGAAGGTTAGAGACAAAAAAATAGAAAACCACTGACATCAATTCCTTAGCTTAACTTACTGAATACTAATAGTAGTCCTTATTCAATAAGAATATATTTATTGAGACACTAAGATGAATCTCCCTAGACATGTTATTCTTTTCTTTATCTGAGAAAAATTCATTCCTTGTAGATCACAGATCACACTAATGTGAGGTAAAAATCATGGGCCACATTTTTTAAAATAAATTTTGACATCCTCTCATATCCACATCAATTAGTTCATCCAAGGTAGAAAGGATACTATATTGAAAAAAGGAGACAAGGATACAACAGTGTTCAAGTACCTCCTTTAGTTTCTCTGTAGCAGCTTCGTCTCCATTTTCACTTAAAGCAACAAGGTGAGCCTCCTGCAACAGTAGGCTCATTTAATGTTATTCATCAAAATTCACTCACTTAAACAGAACCAGATGGAAAAGTATTTATTTTGTAATTAAAACTGACCTCCTCTAGAAGCTGCAATCTTTTCTTGTCTGCCTTTAGGACCACATCAAAGGCAGGCGACTCGCTAGCTTCAACATCTGATAATTACAATGAAGAGAAGTTTCAGATTAACTCCTCCTGATATTTTTTTTCCAGTTGTATTCTTTTTTTTTTTTTTAATTTAGAAAAATTTCAAACACTTAACGAGAATTAATGGAAAATCCTCAGGGTTTAGCAGGTCAGTCTACAGTCATTGAAAAGGTTTTCATAACTTAATTTTTATAAATATACTGCAAAGAAATAATTAATGATAAATTTTCTCAAAATAGCATGTTAACAATTTCTTTTAACAAAGATATTTGCAAAGGTTCATAATAAAAATCTCAAATGCAGTAAATTCTAGAAACTAACATGTTTGTTTACCTCCTGAAGTTGATAGAGAAAAATTAGACTTTATAATTTAATTTCAAAGATTAAAAAAAATATCTATCATTTTTCATTACTTTACCTTGTTCACAGAGTAGGACATCAATATTGGATGGGATAGCAAGCTTTCTGGCTGCAATATGTGTTAAGAGGGTTGTCTTTCCCATACTGAGGAAGTAAATTGATACCTATCATATTTATCTCTTGGCATTCTTTTCATAGAATTTAAAACTATTCAGTAACTTAGGGCACTGATACAAATCCATAATTTCTATGTTGAAATTTCTATGTGGGGGTAAAATTCTATTGAAAACTTGACCACTAGGTTGAATAATAAAAATTTGGACTCACAATAACTTATACATGTACAGCCATATTTCTAGCTAAAGCTTAAAATTCATCTATAATGATCAAAAAAAGAACATTAAAGATAAAAAAAGGCAATTACTACACCACAATTAATGATGATTTTTTCCTTTTAAAAAGTTGTCTTCCTGACTTCATTTGCTACCGATTGATTGTATTTGAGTGGAACTTTGATCAGCTGGATCAAGGGAGTGACATCAGTCAATTGCTGCTTGAATTTGAATTGTGTGAACTTAGCTTATTTTATACTAGGTAAGACAAGAACTAACTTCTTTCTTACCCATTTGGTCCAACTAAACCATAACGCCGACTAGCAGTAATGTTAAGATTTGCATTAACAAAGAGATCTTTACCACGGGCAGAAATACTGAACTTCTCCACCTAAATTATTTTGAAAAAAATATAACAAAACAAATTGCAAAAGTGATTGCTATTTTGTTAATGAATGATGAGCTCAAAGAGGAATGTTTAACTGGTATGTGGAATAATAAGAGAGGCCTTCCTGACAGTCATCTCTCTGTAAAGGCCAAAGCATTAACCCATAATTATTTAACCCTTTAACTCCCAATATTTCATGAGTAATTCTCCTTACTATCTGCCATGCAATTTAAATGATGTTAGTTTGGAGAATTTGGAATTCGATCAGCCAATAATTTCCTAATTGATATTCTTCTTTATTCTCATTACTTGTCTGCTTGATGTTGTACTGATAATGTAAGGAGAAATTCTGTCTTGGTCACTGGTGGGACTTGAAGGGTTAAAATAAAAATCAAACTACTATAAAATAATCTCTAATTTTCTCTACAGGATGTAATTCAATAATATTAGATTATGGTACAAAATACAGTTTGAACATTAACCTTGATGTCTAGAGCATTTTCAAGAAGAGAAGTTTTAGCAGCAGAAGACTCTTGCTGTGATACAGAAAATTGGGATCCTGCCACTTCTTGTGTCTCACTCTCAAACTTTGCCTACGATGTAAATTGCAAGGCACAGTGATCTACAGTGTCAATACCAAAGAAATTTTCATAACTGATAAAACTATTCATACATACTTCCAAGATATCAAAGGTTCACAATTTCTTATCACTAAAATTGACAGATGAATTTTCTGTGCAAACTACAGGAAGGAAAACATGTTTTTAGGTTTTTTCAAGTTCAGATGTTTGCTTTTTTTTGCTTGTCTGTAAACTTAATTAAATATAATTATAATTTGCTTGTTTATAGTTAATCTAATTGCTTAAACCTGCAAGATGTGATTCCTGGATATTCAGGGGTAGACAAAAATTAGATTAATATTGCCTTTTTTGTCATTTCTTGATTAAAATGGGAAAAAAATCTGCATACTGGCAATTTTCAGAAAGTCAAAGCTTTCCACAGATACATCCTTTCAGGATTTCCTGAAAACCAGTGGGAAGTGTTACTGCTGTTGTAGAGTATTCCTCTTTTGGGGGTCACTGCTGTTTGAAAGTCTTCAGGGTCAAATGAAATACTCATCACTTATACATGTAAACAAACCAGCACCTTCTTTTTAAGCTTTCTCTTCTCCTTCTTGCTTAGTTGTTGTACATCTACTGAATCCTCTGTAAATATGGTAAAGCAACAATGAAAGCAACTACCTCTTAAACCCATTACACCCAAACATCAGTAAAAGTATTCTCCATACTTTTCTCCTCAACTAACGGCTGATAACTTTCTTTATTCTCATGACCTTACTGCATGATTCAGGGGTGGTATTGTCAGGAGAAATTAGATGCTGGTCACTCTTGAGGGTTAAAGGGTTAAAAAAAGTAAATGTAATTCATACTCTACAAGATAAATTGTGGGTTACACAAATGGTACAAACTATCCCTGCATCCCCAGTCTAAGTTGCTTTAGGCAAAAAAATTCTCATTTAGTTTTTCTACAAGGTATGGTCCTGTAAATTGAAAATATGTGTACAATCACATAACT